CTGTGTGCCACACTGCTGCGAGGTGCTGTGCCTGTGGATCCAGGTGAACACAGGCCAAACACTGTCAATGCCTTTGGATTTGTAATGCAGATGATCAGAAAAAGCACCCACAGCATTGTTAGTTGGCACTGTCTGAAAGAGTAAAGTCTCAAACAACATGAGTTTAAATGCAGAAACTCTTGAATTCTAATTGTGGTTTTGACAATCACTTCCTCATTTAGTCTTTCTTGGCCATGGTTCTGTAGATAGTATCTACCTGCCTGATTGGCACTGAAAACAGGTTAGCATTTGTAGGCACACTGAACACAGACACTTTAAGCGTTAACACCATTTTATGTGAAATAAGGCCAGAAGGGACTATGTTTCATCTTCTGATACCCATTATACAGGCCCACTGCATTTATTCTAAATATTTCCTGACAGATGTTCCTGACCTGCAGTGGACAGCAGTTTGCTGCCAGTTTCTATTTTCATTGGAAATCTTGTCCCTTCAGTGCATTACTGTACATGAGTAATAAAAAGCATGGCAGCAGAATGATTGTGCAGTACCTTGCTGGTAAACATTACATCTGGCGAGACATGGTGAATTGTACATGCACAGACCCAAGAGTTTTGGATGCTTCAAGTCAGCAAACCATGTGATACAGGGGTCACATAGGGCACACCTCTTCCAGGCACCTGAAGAAAAGGAAGTAACCTGCTTAGCCAGACCCACTGTATTTGCAGACTCAGTAACTGATCAGTCAAATATTTCTGTTCATTAAAGACTTCACTGACTGGGCTTGTCAGGGTCCTGAGGGTGTCCACAAGGCTTCATGGCCCTGACCAGCCTCACCTGGGGCCTCCACCCACACACCTGCTTCATGGGCCCTGAACTCCATTTAAGCTCAGGCCTGGCCAGGTCATTGCTTCCTGTCTAAGCTCTGGTATAGGTGTGTTTGTTTTGAGTGTTGGTTCTGGTCTTGTTTGTTGTCTGGATTAGGTTTCTAGGTGACCCTCAGGCTTGCCTCTAGCTTTGCTTTGGGCCTTCTGTTCCTTTCTTGCCTCTGTGGCTGTGCTATAGAGCTGCTTTGTGCTGGGGCTGGAGGCTGTTCCAGCCCCCAGCTCTGCCTGTCTGCTGCAGGACTGTGCCCTGCCAGTGGAGGTGCCTCCTGAGCTCTGCTGTGTTTGGCTTCTTGATCACCTCACCTCAGGAAGAAGCACTTCTAGCTACTTGATGACAGAGGTAAAGAGGGTTTGGGACAGCACAGTCCTGAGGAAGGTTTGCTAGGGTTGTAATCTGCAAGCTGTGATTTTTGTGGCAGAAGAAGAATGATTATCATGTGGGGAAAGTTATGTACTCCTGATGTCTGTAGATATGGTTTGGGGCAAGTGAACAGGTAATTAGATAGCTATTACATCAGATCACTAACTAGTAAAGACCAGAAGCAAGCCTAAAGACTTCAAAAGCTTACAGAGGTATGATACCTGATGGCAACAGCTATCCCATAATAGGGCTTGGTGTACACCAGCATTTTAAGAGCACTGAAAAGAATCTTTTCAGCAACCACTACTACAAGGACAGCTTACCTAACTAGAACCTAAATAGTCTATTTTAATTGATACATATTTAAAATATGTTTAGAAAACCAAGCATCTTTAACAACAAAAAAAATCAGGAACAAATTACAATTGATAAAACTACCTACCTGCTTGATTTTTTTTTTTTTTCAAATTTGTAGCTCTGCTCCTGAGTATTGTATTTTTAATGTCCTCTCCTGCTGATTTTTGATTTTTTGGGGGAGGCTGTCATAGTGTCACACACGAGTGTAACCCAAATAACATTAACATTTCTGATGACTTTTAAGAATGCATCATAAAAGAGATGCCACCAGAGAAATTTTGTAAAAGGTGTAAACATTTTGAGGTAAAAAGATGAAGTGACAACTGGGAGAATGTTAAGATTTAAGGGTGCAAACGAACTACTAGAGTCTCTAATAAAGAAGACAGACCTTGAAAGTGCTTTATACCAGTAAGTACTTAAAAAAAAACAGTAAAGCTAGGCACATAAAGCTCATTGCTGAATTTTTTTATGTGTTAGTATATCTATGCAAGATGTTCTGTTTAGTTTTGCAATGTAATTCTTTTACTGCTTTCCTAAACAGTACACACACATGAGGCACCCTTCCCTAAATTATGAGGGTTGACAAAGTATCTTCTTGAAATATCCTGCCCGTAGCTAAGAGAGGAGGCAGTGTATTTATGTGATTATTGATTTTTCTAGTCTGTGGTGCAACTCTAGGAACTTGATGACTTTCAGCTGTTAGTGCAGTTGCAATGCTTTTCTGTGTGAAATCAGTAAATTAGGCTCTTACAGCTGGAGCTGTTAACACAGTATGGTTGCTGTGGTGGGAGGAGGCTTTTCCTGAGCAGAAACCCAAAAGAATATAAAGTGGGTGAAGAAAATGGCATCAACAGTGACTTAAAAAAATCTGCTTCAGTAACTCACAGAACAGTTGCCTTTCTATAAGAGACTTACAAAGAGTGACTTCAAAAAAAAAAAAAATTTAGGTACATTACAAAAGGTAAAAAGGCTTGAGGGTTTTCTGCTGTGAAGGACTTATTTGATGTTTTGTAGAAGAAATTATTATTTTTTTAATTGTGGGAAAGAATGAATATTGTAACAGCAATTTCTCACATATATAAATGATGCAATTATTAAACAGAGCAAAAGGAAGTTTTTTTGATTCTGACATGTCGGAACCCAGGACATCCCTCTGGGTGACCTGGATGGCTTGAGCCCCTGGCAGGGGGCTGATGAGCCCTGGCAGAAGACCAAAAACACTTGGGGATTCGATCTTAACTCCTGGGAGAAATTACCAACCTTGTATGAAGAGTCACAGGTCACAAAAGTCTAAGTAGCATAGTAGTAGTATGCACGGGGTGAAGGGAAAATTTTGGAACCATGTACAGGGGGGTTTGGGATTCTGTCCATGGGGGTCAGGGGGTCTGAGACTGAGAGATTTTGGTGTGCCCTGTCCTCCTTTCTTCTCCCTGGCATCCATGTTCAGGATGATGTTGGCACTCCATCCCGACGATGGGGAACCCGAGACTGACACATGCTTAATTTTAAAGACTATAATCTATTAAAGGGAAAAATGAGTAATTTTTCTTGAAGGCAATTTGACACAAGCAGGAAGCAAAAATATTCTGGCAATTTTTCTTGGAAAGTGATTCTTTTTACTCTTGCAAGCATTGAGATCTGCTTGACTGGTTTCTTTGTGTTAGAAGACTAACTTTTTAAAAAGGCATATTGGTATGTGAAATACTTGAAATCCAAGGTCAAGATGTATGGGGCAAAAAGTATATGAGGAATAGGTGAGTAACTGCAGAAAAATAATGGAAAAGCTGACAGCATGGGCTTTCTCACCAGGCATCAGGTGTGCGCTCCCTCCTTGCTCCATACACCAGGCATCCAGAGTACACTTGTGTTATCTTCAGCAGCTGAAGACAACAGGTCAAATACCTCCTGGTATTTATTATTATAAAGGAAAGCCTTATACACTGTAATCAACAGAGACATTGCAGAAAATCTAAAAAATTGTCCAAAATGTTGACAGCTGTGGAATCATAGTGTTTGACCTTTCTGATTCTAAAACTGCTGATTTTTTTTTTTTCAATGTTTCCCCTTCTGATGCGTTTTGAAACTTGCACATAAATAATCATACTGAATATTTTTTCTGGGTATGAAACCGTAATTGTAGACAAAAGAAATAATCATGTTTAAGTAGCTATTTAAATGGCTTGAAAGAAATCGATGTATTTTACAGTACAGTCAAATTAAGAGATCTTTAGGTTTTGGTTATGTGCGCCCATAGGTCTTAATATACGTATTTCTTGGCGAAATGGGCGGATGACTGTTGTTAGGGAGAGCAAGCGATCCCCGGGGGCACTAACAAACGGCTCCATGCCGCATCGCGCCCCGGAGCAGGCAAAGGGTGAGAAGCAGCCCCGGCAGGGCGCACCCGGCCCTGCCCGCGGCTCAGGCTCAGTGGCGGAGGGACGGCCCGGCCCCGCTGACGCGATCCTCAGGCGCCGCGGCGTGGCTTCCCCGGCGGCGGCGGGGCCCGGCGCCGCGCTGCCCCCGGCCGCGGCGCGCCGAGACTTCTACTGGCTGCGCTCCTTCATCGCCGGAGGTGGGTGCCCCGGGCGGGGGGCGGCGCAGGCGGACTGGGGTGTCACTGTCCCCGGTGAAACTGCCGCCGGGTCTCGTCACCCGGGGAAGCTTTTCCTTTTTCCCTTCTGGACTGAGGCGGGTGGCGCGGTGCACGCCAGTGACTCGCACATGTGTCAGAACCTGCGAGGAGCCCCGGTCAGCCGCCAGTTAAATGTTCCCGGAGCCCAAACCCTCCTCCGGGTGTTCGGGGAGGGCGGACTATCCCTGTCCTCAGACTGTTGAGGTTGCTGTTCAGAAGATGAAGGTGGTGTAAAGGGGTGAAACAGCCTGGCAAACACAAGGCCACATTAATAACCTTATAGAGAAAAAGCCTTTTAAAGGTGTTGTGTCGGGTGACTGATTTGCTGGGGGTAGGAGAAGGTTGTGTTTATTTACAGTTTTTACATCATGCCGCAGTCTCTGTTGCATCTCACTCTCTGAAGTACACAGGGTACACGGCAGACACGTAGCCCTCCTCCTTGGGAAGATCAGCAAGAGCTGTTTCCCGCAAAGGGAAAGAGGAAATAGGATGGAAAAGTAACTTGAGTAACTTTCAGGAAAGTTCCTTCTGCAGTGACCTTAGCAGCTGAGACCCAGGACAGTGCCCTGGGTTTTTGTAAACAGGAAAAGTAGCTTAAATGTTTCCCTAAGGCTTTAGGGGCTTTGTGGCATCTAATGGAAGCTGTTACTTGTCACTGGGGCTTTTTCCAGTTCCTGAGTTAGCTACATTAGAAAAATCCTTTAATGAACTGCTGATCTAAAGAGCTTTTTTATCCTGTCAATCTTCTGTTTCTCTCTTGGAAAGGTGTTGCAGGATGTTGTGCCAAAACAACTACTGCACCACTGGATCGAGTAAAGATTTTGCTGCAAGCTCATAACCACCATTACAAACATCTAGGTAAGATGGCTGCTAATTTTTGGTTTTAAATGCAGTGTGTGTGGTTTGGGTGTATTAATTTACTCAGTGATGAGGCTGATAAAAAAGGTGCTCATCAGACAGAAGGTTATATCTGTCTGGTCAGGCTGTATGCCATGCTTTGTTTCTGTTTGAGAAGAAAAACAAAGCCCTGTGTAAATTGTGGTATCAATCGATGTGTTAGAGATTGAGATGCCAGAATAATCCTCAATAAGGCATGTAAGAGCTGGGCTTGATCTTCTGCTTATAGGAGATTGGTAACCACAGCTTCAAAGCTTGGATGATTTCAGTGAGAACTGTACTGCAGGAGTTCCCAGGGGCCATGGGGATCCCTGCAGTTCAGACAGAGGCATGGCTGGTGGGAATTGGAGGGAGCAGAGGGTTTGTGCCTGCTGTAAGGTGCAGGTGATCTGTATTCAGCATCTGTGTTGCATCATGGTGAGAGCAAACTCACGTGTCCAGAGCTGTTCTCTGCGGGCTGTAACAGTGCCCTCTTGTGCAGAGTATTTGAGCCATTGATGTCAGATGTTACTGAAATATGGCATAACTTTTGCTCCAAAATTTAAGTGTTGCAATTTTCAGGGGAAAAAAAAATTGAGTTGGCTAATTTTGCATGTAACTGAACTTGTTATTAACTTAGCCACTAAAGATAATGTTATTTAAAAGTTGGAGAAATAAATCGTCGCTAAATCATAAAATTCAGTAGATATATATTTCACTGTGGCAAAAAGGGAAACACAAGCAATGTGTTTTAGTAACACAGACACAAGTATACACTCAAGTCTAAGAATTGAAGGGTGAAATAATTGGTTTGACTGGGTTTTAAATCTTCAATTTGCTTTGTACTGTGCTATATTTGGCAAGTAAAATCTTATGTTCTTTCCTATTTTGGGAGTCAGCTATGATGCTGGTTATTTGAACTGTGTCTGACTTGAATGTGTGTCCATGTTACATGTAGGCAAAAAAGGAGAATTACGTGGATAAGGTACCTGTAAGTGCAGAGGCACGATTGTTCAGTTCATCACAGTCCTCCCTGTGTGTTTTTATACCTTTGGATTGTGGTGCTTGTGGATCTCGCTGTGTTCTAGGAAATAGAAACAGTAACTCATCATTGCAGCGTAGAGAGAAATTCTGGTCTTGGCATAAGTAAGTTCAGAGGCATGTAATAAGCGTGACATCTTAAAAGTAAATTTGCTACTAAATATGTAATAATACCTTAATATACAATGATATAGTAACAAGGTACACTAATCTATTAATATTCTTAGAATCCCAGAAACTAATAGGTACTTGTTTTGTTTAAACTTCAAATGAAAGTTTGTCAGCCACTCTATTCTTCCTGCCTTGAAAGCAAGACACCATTTTCATTTTCTGTTCTTATGTAGTAGTTGCATTTGAATTAAAACTGTTTGACTATCACAGTTAATTCTTTTGTAGAATCAAACTAAAAGTGAATTTGATAGCAACTGTGCATAGCTAATGTTTATAGTAAAACTATAGGTTTTGCCCAAACTTTGTGTGATGTTGCATTATTTCCCACCGATTAAAAGGAAGTAGGATTGCTTCTTGTTGCAACAACTCTGAAATAAAGTGTGTGATGTTTAAGTTGTAAGTAATGAGAGTCTTCAACAAGTTTATTTGATTTCTTCAGTGGTGGCATTTAATCTGTAATTTAGCATGTAGCAATATCATTTTGCCATGGTTCTAGAATTAAAAGCATTATTTATTTATGTATTTATTTATTTAGAATTGACTGAACTATAAGTTAGCCCGTTCCCTCCCCTGTGTTCCTGGCCTTAGGCTGCTGTGGATGGGGAGCGGCATCTGCAGGAGCTTTGCTCACAGTCCAGGCAAGTACTGGGGCCTGAGTGCAGAGGTTCACTGTGTCTGGGAGATGAGAAAACTGATAAAACTTCACCTTAAGGCTCTCCCTTCTGGCAGTGTTTGGGCACTGAAAGTGGATTTTCCACATTACATGAGCAACACGATGCAGCCTTAGCTTTGTATGCTTTCTTTACAGTAGCATTTCCTTGATTTTTGTTTTCCTTCCCCACAGTGTTAAATACGTTTTTTTTTTTTTTTTATTGCTGCAGGAGTATTTTCTACGTTGTGTGCTGTCCCCAAAAAGGAAGGTTACCTTGGGCTGTATAAAGGAAATGGGGCGATGATGATCAGAATCTTTCCGTATGGCGCTATTCAGTTTATGGCATTTGACCAATATAAAAAGGTAGCTGAATTTATTGTTTTCCTTTTCCTTTTTTTTTTTTTTTCCCCTGCTTGCAATGAATACAGACTGGTTGAGTGAGTGAAACGAACATTGAAACTTCTGTGTCTTATTAAGTAGCTGCGCATCTTTTCTATGTTGGCTTAATTTTATCAGTGTTTACTCATTAAAAATACCAGGGCAACTGGAAAGCTTTTGCAATGTTGCTTAAGGAAAAAGAAATTCACACTGATTTCTAGATGTTGGTATTGTTGAGAATAATACCCTTTATTTTAATGAAAACAAAAGGTAACTTAAAGGTAATTCTGCTGCTATTTGTATTGCTATGAAGTAGCCCTTTGTGAATAATGTAGGAAAAAATGTAGAATGAAACAACTTTATTATATTTATGTTGGGATTCCTAGTACTTCATGAATAAAATGACTTAAACTTGAAAGTCTGTCAGATATGACTGCTACATTTGATCTGACAAATTATTATGTCAAGCTGTAAATAAAAATGGCCTTGAAGATAAAAATGCTCATTTCAGGGTTCTGAAAGATTTGTTGATTCTTTTCTGGTTTTCTGCATTTACCCATTCATAATAAATCTTTGCAACATCTCATGGAGGTCAGTTGTTAGCATGAACATATTTTAAATATTGCTGTTTGTAGTAAAAAATACCATTTTGCTATTAGTGAGGAGAAATTTCACGTTTGAAAGGTCAGATTTAGTACCTGGCCAAGTAAATGGTGCAATATTTACTGAGGACAATGGGATTGAAATTGTGAGTCCCTTCCCTAAGAGTAAATTTCAGAAGACTGATACAAAGAAGTTACTGTAATGGGTTTTGTAGGTTCTTTTCTTTGTGCTCTAATAATGAATGCTGTTGATCTGTACATATTTTATGTTGTGTGGAATAAAAGACTGCATACCATGCCTTGTAATTGAAATTATTAATGAATCTGCAATTTCGAGAACAGTTAGCATCATAGCACTTTCTTTTACCTATTAATTGACCAGAAACCTTCACAGTATTTTGCATGGATATGTAAAAGAAAAATAATTCTTCAAGGAGTAAGATACTAAATGATCTTTATAGCAGAAAGTCTCAGTTATTTGATAAAAAGCCTGGAAAGTAATTTCTAATTTCCTTCCAGGCTGTAATTAACTTAATCTGAAATGTTGTCCTTTTTCTCTTCCTTTTTATTTCTCCTTTTTTTTCTTTCCTTTTTCTTTTCTTTTTTTTTTTAATCCAGTTAAAATCTTTATGGGACTATTTCACATGATGTGCATGTAAGAAAAATTGACCTCTTCTTATTTCTTAATTTTGTTCAGTGTCCTTTGCTCTCTATATACTCAGTTTGCCTTGTTTAACACACATTAATGATAACTAAATAAACAATTAATCTAGTTTCTGAAGTGAACAGTCCAAATACTTTCAACTTACTGTTTTGCTTTGTTAGTAGAATTTTAGTACTTTGATGTTTTTAATAAGAAATTGGAAACAGCAGCAGTGGAAAGAGTGTTAAAAAATTCTAACAGTAATTAAATGTTCTGGATTGAATTTATAGCATTGTAAACTTCTTGGAAACTGCTGCAGAGTTTGCACTAATGTGCTAATAAGCTTTGTGCTGTGTTTCCCTGTCTTTTCTGATATCTGACTACTGTAAATGTTCCACATTGTGTAGGTAATAAAGAAACACCTTGGGATTTCTGGGCATGTGCATCGATTAATGGCTGGATCCATGGCAGGTATAGTTTTGTACTTGGATTTCAGACATGCCTTTTGCTGAGATGTTAATACTTCAGAGGATGATTTGATGTGGTGTTGGGTCAAACTCCTGCAAATTTGTATTGAACAAATATACTAGTAAATGGTTAATTTATTGTGGTTGCCTAATTGATACCTGTTTGTCTAAGAGTATTCTTTAAAACATATTTGTGCAAGCCATGAATTCTGTGCTATGTTGTGAAGCACAGTTTTTTTATAGTCTTTTATTACGGCGTTTAAAAAGTGTAAAAACCAGTGTGATCAGTATGAGCTATAAAGCTGCAGGTTCTGGTAGAATTAGCTCATCAGCCCCTCTGCCACTGCTGCTAGGTTGACTATATGCCCACAGAAATAGAGAGAACTGTGGCTGCTCAAATGAGCAGTTTGTTTGGATTTGCCAGAAATGTCTGTACTTTTCCATGTCCAGTGTAGGATTGTCATGATGCTTTTTAGTGAATGTTAAAATCACTCATTTATTAATTAGTGCAATAGCAGCAGGAAAACCTATTAGTAAACTGCCAGTGTATAGTATGATTATTTATTAGTTTTCCTCTTACTAGTCATTGAGTCAAAAGCAGCTAAGAAAAAAACAGGGGAAGGTAAGTAATAGTGGACTGAGCTTTAACTGAAGTAATTCTTCATGTGCTTTTCCTTTGTGAAATAGGCTTAGTACTGTCTAGTGCCAGTCCTTAAATAGTCACAGGTATTCACATTTAGCTTCTTTTAGAAAAAAAACACTGGGATTTTTAAATACTACCTTCAGTTAAATTAGGAAGATCTCATTAAATCATTCAGGCTTTGTGTGGCATCAGAGGAAAGAGAATGAAATTAAACAATGAGAAGAGTCCTGAAAACAAACAAAGCCTGTTTGCTAAGATGTGTTCCAGAACTTAGCTGGCTTTCTATCTGAAAAGTCAAAAAAACCCCTAGATCCATAGACGTTATTTTTTCTTCCTTTTTTCCCCTTTCCCCTGGCTTTAACTGTTCTAAGGAACATTTTGCAATTTACTTCCCCCCACCCCCCCAAAAAAAAAAAAGATTATTATTATTAGCTTTTCCAGAAGCTTTGTCAGAGACTGGCAACCTGACTGGGAGGCACTGTGAAAACACTGAATAATCAGCTTAATCTGTCAGTGTTGGATGGGGTGGAATTCTTCCCATAAATAAATTAATAGCATCTGGCATTGTTGTAAGCGCCTTACTGGTTAAATCTGGTTTGTGTGGTTAGAATAACGGAAATAAATTAATGTACAGATCTATCTGGCAAGCATGATCTGCTTTATGTGGTGTGTTTAAGTACTATATACTCAATAGTTTCATTTTTAGAACCCCAAAAGTGAGGAACTGAGCTTGACTTGGGGGTGAGATGAACACAGCAGTCGAGTATTTATGTAGTGTCACATGTGAGTGTCTCACTGTTTGTTTACTAGGTGGCATTAACTGCTTCTTGGGATGTTCTTTAGGTAATAAGAGGCAGAGGGTTTATCTTAAGTATATCGAGGAGAGAGAGGGGAGGAAGGAGGCACTAAGAAGAGCAGAGAGTTTGAAATCTGGTACAGAAGTTTTCTAGGTTTGCAAACAAAAAAGAAAAGACTTGAAAGCAATTGGTAATATTTCTTACTTTGCCTCCTGTGCTGGCTCCAATAAAGGATATTTTTCTGTTTCTTCTACACTCTAACACCAAAGGAGATGATGTGTTGCACAAACCTCGGTATTGGTGCAGAGGGTCCTTCACAGTTTCATGGGATGCAGGATTAAATTGAGACTAGATAAAACTGTATTTCTTTGAACTTCGTGTCCCTTCTACACCATCTAGCCAGGCAGCTGTCTGCTTTGACTTCTCTGTACCCACTGAACTTAAATCTTGTTTTTGCAACATGACTACTGGTCAACAGACCTAAATCAGCTCAAAGTGGTGGGAAACATTTAAGTGTCTTCTGTAAGTGATAAACAGGATCAAAAGCATATGCACAGGGGAAAACAAGACCGTGAGGATGGGGGTAGTGGAGGGAGAGAAAAGAAAAGCCTATTGTAATGCATATGTTTAAGGAGACCCAGTTAAAGTTACTGTGGAAACTCTAACTCTGAATTTCCTGAGTCTTGTGTGATTCAAATTTCAGCTGTAACACTTCATTAACAGGTAATTAGGGTATAGCTTATTTTAAGGAAAGACAGAGCTGGGCAGAAGAGAAATCATAGAGGTTGGTGGAGTTTAGGAAAGAAAACTATCAAATAACAACAAAAATGAACAAATAACATTAAATAAAACATCACAGGATGATTTTACAAATTAATTTTTTAAAGTTTTCTAATAAAAAAAATCCAAATCAAAACACAGAAATGTGTATTTCCTCTTTTGCACTTGATTAACTTTGAAATAACAAAGCCAAAAAAGACTAGATGTTATCTAGAATAAACTCAAGTCCCATTAAACTAATACAGGAAGTATGGTTTTGGTTTTAGCTTTTTACTTTTACTAAAAGTGATTGAAAATAGTACTGACCTAGCACTAGGAGGATATTGGCTATCTCCATTTTAAATAGTACGTAACTAACAGTTACCTACTTCAGTCAGCATTTTAAAAAAATCTGGTCTAGTTCTTCGGATGTGCTATGGAAGGAAATAGAATTATTATTTATTTGGCATAAAGAAATATTAGAAGTGATAAATTAGATGTTCTTTAACCTGATAAATATTTTTTATCATCAGAAATTTCTCTGTATGTAGTTTCTGAAGCTTTATTTTGTTCAGAAGCTGCTACTTGGATAATTTAATCTTTCTATTAGCTAAGGAACAAATCTGCAGTTCAAGGCTGTGTCTTGTGTTTATCACTTTTTGAGTTTTATTCCTCTGAATCTTCTGGCAGTGCTTAATTTGATCTCTGGAGCTACTGATAGAGTACAAAGAGCATGATACAGAGATAATAAAACTTGCATACTGCCTGTGTTTGCAATGTAAATGTATTTCACTTGTGGTTTTTTCTTGGTCCAGACAGTTTTTTATTTTTATTTCCAAAGAAAGAAAATTTGTAAGAACAGAGGGATAGCAGGGAAACTGGGAGACAGATGAATCCCTGTGGAGCTAATCTCATTGTTAACTGCCAAAGCCTGGGAAGGAAATCAAGGACAGTCTAATGTGCTTCAGTGTCACTACTGCTAGTCTGTGTGACCCAGTGTCTTGTCCCCAAGAGTGGTCAAAGGTGCTTGAGGACAATATGGGAAGTGAAGAAGGGTCTTTCCCTGACTTCTGAGTCAGCATTGGCAGAGAAAAAGTCTGCTGCTTTTGAGGAAGTGGCTTTTTGAAGGGAGTAGCTACATTCCCCTGTTAAGATTATTTCAGATTGGTGGCAAGTGTTGTATGTATCTCTGAACTGTTGATGCACTTTTGAATGTCCTGTTTAACCTACCCCAGCAGAGATTTTTGCCTTAGCTGTCATTAGTGGGGATAGACTTTGCTTTTTCAAGCCTGGGACTGAGCCTTAAGATGCTGTGGTCTGACTTCTCATAAGGTAGTATTTAAGGAGCAGAGGTGAGATGAGTAGTTTTGTAGACTTCACCACAATGACTTTGTGTCCCACAGCTGGCTGCCATTGGAAAGGACAGTGTCTGTCTTGAGCCCCAAAAGCAATCTTGATCCCTTGTGTGTACATTTTCCTTAGATGAACAGTAAAGCAGTAACATGCCCCTCCTAGTTGCTACAAGACAGCATATATTGTGGCTGGTGTCCCAAATCCCCTTTTTAATTATTTAATTTTCTTTTCAAAAATTCATAGCTAGAGCATTTTAAGAAAAAAAAAAAAAGTAAAAGTTTCTATTTAAATCCTTACTCTACATACCATTTCTTTCAGTTTCATCTGTGGTTTTTTTTTTTAATTGTATCATTTTCAGAGTGTGTTCACTAAAGAGTGCGTTCACCAAGCTCTTAGTTGGTCCATTGCTAGCCTTTGTTCAGAGGAAGTGCCTGGACAGATACCAGTGCATGATTGGAAAGAGAAGAGGGGGTAAAGTCTGTTTTCTGAAGTGGGATGGCTTTCCTGTGCACTCTTAAGCTCTGTAAAAGTGCTTTACCCCTCCCTTAATTTTTTTCGACTGCTTGAGTTTGATGATATTTCTGGACATCTCGGGGAATCCATTAGGGAAAGGCTCTAGACTGAGGGCTTGCATTTTGTGTAAGTCACTGGAAACAGTCTTGAAGTTGCTTTAGTGTTTTGCAGCTTCCAGCTGTTGAATCCTGTGGGTGAGACAACCTCAGAAATAAACTGCAGATGTCTGCTTTTTGTTCAGAGGACTTGTCCAAAATCTCCAAAAGAGGTGTTTTTGTCTTCAAAAATGAATTACTGATGGGATAATCCAGAATCCCACTAACGTGGTTCCCAACTGAGAGTTGACCAGTGTCAGATTTTTGGACAGCTCACTTACAGTGTTTTTTAAACTCACCATCTAATACTGATAACTTTCAGATCATTCAGCTTATCAGAGCAGTGTTTTTTTGGTTTTTTTTTTTTTTTGAACCCCAGGCATAAATGTTATGCAGAGCTTGTCTGCAGGGGTTGTGCTGCATTTGGATTTTGTTGCTGGTTTGTGTTTGCTTTTTTTCTTCCCCCTGTTGTGGATTTGTCTTGGCCTTGTGGAAAGAAGGGGAGATGATACACCTTCAAAAAGAGGTGTCATTATGAAAATACTAAAACTTAAACGGAAGTGACAATTTCCTGACAAAAAAAGGTGACAATTTTCTTTCCACCAAAAGTGTACTTGTCTTCTGTAGGACCAATTTTTAAAAGCTACATTTGGCTAAATCAGAGCAGTTTCTAGAAAACAGTGCCAGTTCCAAAGGTTTCTACTTTCTTTTCTGCCTTTCCCTAGATTTTTTTTTTTTTTTTTTGAGTTTTGGTTCTTTGGTGGGGCTTTTTTTTGGTGACTGTGGTGTACCATCAGAAAATGACCACTGTTGTTAGTCAACAGTTTTAAGTATTCCTTCCAAAGACTGTCAGCCACTGAGTGGTTTACCTCAATACCTAGCAGCTGGAAAGAATTTGTTACTCAGACAAGTGTTAGAATTGTTGTTTTCTGTACTGGAGTTGTGCTTCCAAAATTGCAAGCTGGTCAGCATTTAAACTATTTTGAAGCAACTCCTAACTGGATTAGTTCTAAGATTTGATTTTTTTTTTTTGCCTTTTATTTTGCATCTTAAGTCCAGAAAGCTTTTCTGCTCAGTTTTAAAACAGAAGTGCTGATGTAACATGAACTATTAAAATGCAGTAATACAACACAGTTAAGTACTTCTCATCAGTACGAGCCTGGCTCTATTTTAGATGTGATTAGAATATATTTAGTGTGTCTTTAGAATATGTTTAGTATTTTCAGATACAGTAGATAGATACATGTATCTATACCCAGTAATGACACCAAATTCTGACAGAACCTTTTTGGAATAAAACATGTAAATTCAGTGGTTTGAAATTTTTTTTTTTTAATATGGTAGGATTAGGTTTCATGGTTGCAATCCAGTGAAGCTGATGTACTTGATTAGCCTGATTCTTAGGAGCTATGAATTTCAAAGCTCAGGTGAGTACAGTCAGGCCCATAAATCTTGGAAAATCTAGGCCTGGGTGTGCTGCTTCAGTGAACACCAAGTACAAACAAATCCTTTGTGTGTTGCTGGAGTTGGTGTTCCTGCTTACTGATTGTAAGTGACTTTAAGTGTTTCTGTAACAAAATAGTTTTATGTGCTATTGTATTTGCTGCCAGAAAAGGAAATTCTACTTTTCAAAATAATCCTAGAATCAGATAAGGTGTAGGTGAGTTTTGTTTGCTTGTTTTGTTTTTGTTTTTAATAAAGGTATTACAGCAGTGATTTGTACTTACCCTCTTGATATGGTTAGAGTTCGCCTGGCGTTCCAAGTAAAAGGGGAACACAAGTACATGGGAATTATCCATGCATTCAAGATGATTTACACAAAGGTATTTTTTCTTTTAATCTTCAGTTCTGAAAAAGCAAAGTATGCTCTTAAATAATGTTGCACTGCATTGAACATAATGGCTTAGTGCAAAATAACATGACTTCATTGTGTGCACTTGGAATTTTTTAATGTAAGAAGTTATTTGGATGCTGCTTTTGCCTTAGGCTGCTGAGCTGTAGCTAAGGCTCATGTACGTGGGAGGTCAGAAAGAGCAGAGAAGCTGCTTTTCAAGAAAAGTAGTAATGTTACCAAAAAGATTTGGGGAGGAGGGCTATGTATAACGCATAAATGTTTCCAGTTATAATGTTGGGTGTAGATTTTTCGCCTTCATTTTCACTTATTTATCTCCTCTGGAGCCAGGCAGTTGTCCCTTCAGTTCTTCAGGCACAGGAAGCAGAATGTGACATGAGCTCCTTGGTGGTAGATGGTGCTAGTCAGATTGCTGTCACGGGACTCTGTCTGAACAGTGGGGTAACTCAAGGCACTTGTATTTCTTGCTACAAATGCTGCTGTGTTTTTCTTTCAAAGGAGGGTGGTTTTAGTGGATTCTACAGAGGGCTGATGCCAACTGTGGTGGGAATGGCACCATATGCGGGTAAGTTAAAACCAGAACGTGCCAGTCCTTCAGCAGTTCTGTGCACTACTAAATTTATTTAATATATTTGCACACCTAGTTGATTAGCTTCTGTCCAAATCACCTTCAATGATGCTCCTTAAAAAGTGTCTTCAATAGTCAAAGCCTAGCTTTTCTGCAATTTGGAGTTGAGATTGAGAAAGGTAAACTAGTGGTTGTCTTGTACTTCCCAGTTTTCCCCCAAGGAAGCAAGGAGGCTGTTTCTCTCCAGCAGGCAGGTCCTTGGGAGCTGGCTCTTTGTAAATGCAGCCTCAGAGCCTCCGTTGGCTCCATCTCCTGGTGGCTCTTCCGTAAACACTCCCGCCTGTGAAGCAGCAGCGATGTGGAGCAGAGGAGCACGACAGCCCGGCTCAGCTACCCTCGTTTTTAAAAGCTGATACATGTCCCTCACTTAGAAAGATCTCAGGAGCAATTCTTAGCGGCACGGAAAGATTCTTGACAGCAGTCCAGTAACTTAAAACTCACAGTCTAGCTTATTTGAAGTATTCTTGTAGCATTATGCATAAACACAAATCCATTTGGACAGAAGTTTCTGTAGAAGTTCAAAATATTGTTTCTCTGTTATTCTGCTTAAGAAAAAACTTCCAAAGGGGAAAATAGTTTCATTTTGTAAATGCAACTCTCTGTTTGTGATGATACATCAACAAATAGTTTGTTTTTTTATGAAAGTACATAAAATTCAATTTCCTTTTAGGTTTTTCATTTTTTACCTTTGGTACCTTAAAGAGCATTGGACTTGCTCAAGCACCTAACTTGCTTGGACGGCCTTCATTGGATAACCCCGATGTCTTAGTTCTGAAAACACACGTGAACCTGCTGTGTGGTGGCATAGCTGGAGCGATAGCTCAGACCATATCGTGAGTTTGGATATGGGGTTGGTTTCATCTCTGTAGCTGTTCATTCGAAAGAAACTTTTCTCTAACACAGTTTTATCTAAGTCTAATGATTAGTAAGGTTTTTAAATTAATCAAATACTGAAATGCAGGTATTTCCTATTGTTTCACTTACTAAATATCTATTTAATCTTCAGGGTCTTTTAAGAGCTATCCAGTGAGTCAATTAAACAAATCCAGGCAAATCTCCTAAAACCCACTGGAATCTTTTTTAGTAACAATCTTGTTTCTTAGCTTGTTTGGAAAGCTGAAAAGTTTTGATCCTGATGATAATTTGCAGAACTTTATTATTCCAATTTACTTTCCAACCTATGTAGCCTGTGAAACCACAGGATTTAAAAAAAAACTAAAGTCAAACAAAGTCTTAGATATTGTATTTGGCATTTTTATTACTTTTCTTGCTTTTTCTTTTCTCACCCTGTCCTTGTTCTATATTATTTTGTCCATAAAATAATTTAATGGACTTACATAGTACGGATTTTTCACTAAATCACTGCATTTTAAATATCACTGCCTATTAATTTTTAAACTGTTAATTTTATTTTCAATGCAGGTGTCTTCTCCCTTCAACATTTTACAGACTCTTTTATACTCTCATCTGATATTCATTTGTCTTCCTTACTAGTGCCAAATGGAATATATTAAGAGCTCTGGTATGCTGGTTTTGGTTGTGTAAGGGGAGTCTCCCTTTTTGGAGAGTTTTCAGCTGTGTTGAGAATCTAAGCTGGATTCCTGACTCAGTGAAAAGAGAGCTGGGAGGTTGCTCATGGACTTCTTTGTATTCTTGTTTAAACAACATTCCAACAGTTGTCTCACATCTGCTTGAGCTGCAGTTCCAATGTCTCCTCTGTAGATATCCCCTGGATGTGACTCGGAGGCGAATGCAGTTAGGAGCGGTTCTCCCAGACTCTGAAAAGTGCCTGTGAGTATTTCCTTTTCATCTGTACTGAGTTCTTGATGTCTGACCTAAGTTCAGCTCTTAATTTTAAACTTTAAAAGAAAGCAACTACCATAAGAAAACAGCCACTCCCTCCCCCTGAACTACTATGCTCTTGATTTCTTGTTCTTTTAATAAAGAAGTTTCCCCACAGACAAAAGCTACCATTATCAACCTGGGGTTAAAAAAATACCTGAAATAACAATGGCACCCTTGTTAGTAATCCTGTATCTCTACTAGTAAAATAGGTTTTTTTGTATTTTAATGCAACTTGTGCTACCTTTCATATCAGCAAGCTCTCTGAAAAAGAGACCAAATGCTTCTACTGAAATGAACTAGTTTCAGAGTATTTTAATGGTGCAGAATCTGTTCCATAAGATGATTTTGCATAATAAAATTTTATTTGAGCTATTTTGTGCTTGCAGTAATCTCCTACACTCTGCACATTGTTGAGGTTCCTCCAGTAGAAGTAGAAGCACCATAATAACTTAAAAATCACAATAGTATTAAATCAGCTCTCATCTTGAGAAACTTTCTGAATTTCAAATTGTCTTAATCGATTTGAATTCTGGGATGGTTTTCTCTTGGTTAGTTTCAATCTTGTGGAATCGTGTATGTCTGAATCCAGTGTTGTGAACTGTGAGCCTCCTGTGTGGAAGGTTGGATCCTACCAAGAGCAGCCTGAGTGACCTTTCACAAACAACCTCGATGCTGCTTAACTGTGAAGGTTCTGTTCTGTTTCCTTTACCAGCCTTTGTTTTCCCTTTGTTACTTTCCACTCCTGATGATTTTAAAATGAAAATGTATTCATAGTTCTTGTCAGAGCCCAGGATGTGTCTCTGACGGTCCTGGATGATCCAAGCCCCAGCCAGGGGGCTTTGAACCCCTGACAGGGGGGTCAGAGACCCTGGCATGCAGCCAGAGACCCCTGCAGCTAGGAGTTGGACCCGTGGAACAAATTACCACCTTTGTATGAAGAATTAAAGGTCACAAAAGTTTGGATAGCATAACACTTACAGGGTGAAAAGAAAAATTTTGGGGGTTTTACTATAGGGGTCTAGGAGGCAAGATGGAGGGATTTGGGCATTGTCCTGTTCTTCTTCCTTCTTCTTCCCAGCCTCCATCTTCTTGGTGATGGTGGCACTCTGGGACTGGTGTAGAGTAGAAAGTCACTGTCTAACACAGGTGACAGGTATTGGAACATAACTGTAAATATCGAATATGAAGTTTAGAGTATAAAAGACAACACTGGCCCCATGGGAGGGCAGCGTGCCTCAGACTGACCTGCTGAACAGACCTCGGCAGGCCAGACAGAAAATGTTTTAGATAAGAAATAATAAACAATCTTGAGAACGACAGCCGAGGACTTCTGACTCCTTCTTCGACAGCTGGGTTGGGGAAAAGAGACTTTTAATACATCTCAGGGTCATCGTGACCAGAGGAGATCCCGAGATGTTCTCAGGGTTTTACTTTTTGCATTTGTGAGGACTACTTTTACAGACCCCAGGCTTCCCCATTTAACAATTTTGTTGTGACCATATAGAGAGCTGTGCCTTGATGGAGAGACACAGGTCTATCTTTAGAGGATGAGAGGATAAAGCAGGCAGGAAGTCTCGAAGCTTTGGAACATACGGAAGATGCTCTCCAAGAGCACTGTCTTCGATAGCATGGAAATACCAAGCACTTTAAGCGCTTTCCATTTCATGTCTGCTTAGTTTCAATACAAGTATGTGAAGAAGGTTCTCTTTGCACATACAGTGCAATTTCTGCTTCTAATAAGGTAAAATATTACATTCTCAGATTATTATTTGTAAAAGGAATTTATGCTTCTCTGCTCTTTCCTGCCAGTTAGGCAAGAGAATGTGTGGAGCCATTCTGGTGTAGAATACTGTAATAGGTCTTGTAGGGCAGGTGCTTTCAGACCAACACTTGTTTAGCTGGGACTGCACCATCCTCTTTCCATTTCCCAGCCCTTGGGCCCAAATTTCTTGCAGAGGCCCAGGTTGTCTTTTTAGTCATGTGGCTTTGCTGTGTGGAATGCCATGGCTTTTTCTCCATAGATCTCTGAAAACGCAAGTAGAAAGTATCTTGTATTTAAGGAAAGTGATTTTGATACTGAATATGTGTATCCACTAATGATTTATCTTTGCAGTACCATGGTGCAGACACTGAAGTACGTGTATCAACAACATGGAGTACGAAGAGGACTGTACCGTGGTCTGTCCTTGAATTACATTCGCTGTATTCCTTCCCAGGCCGTGGCTTTCACCACATATGAACTTATGAAACAATTCTTGCACCTCAACTGATTCTTTCTCTTGGGAGACTTTTCTATAAAACTACACTATCAATCCTCAAATTATATTGATGAATAAATGACTTGAAGTTTAACAAAAAAAGCTTTCTGTTACTGTGGACCTGCTGTTGTTTGACACCTTTATTTGCCAAAATGTGGTTAATTTCCTGGAGTCAAAACCAGGTGACACATCAAAATAAACATTAGCTAGCTGTAAACACTTTTTTTGCACTTGATCTTTTAGGCTTCATTAGATGAATTTTAGGAATGACACAGTTTTGGAGATGACACCCATGTTTTATACAGGTTCCAAGCTGTTAGTTATTTAGCTTTATCACCATTCCAGGAGTTACATGCTGCTGATTATGCTGCTTTTGAAGCTAGTAATTAGGCATCCGTTGTTCTTTAAAAATTAAATGAAATAAACTGATTTGAACATAATGCAATGATTTTGCCATTCAGGTCCTTGCCGGGTCTGTAGAAGCAGAGCTTGGCAGAGCACACTTCAAGCAGCCTTTTATTCTTGTTCTGTACAAGTTTTCTGTATGCAAGAACAATGCATATGTCTTCAGTTTGCTACACAGGAAGGTATCTTCAGCCCTTTCAGCTAGAACCATCAAGATGTATTTAGCAGTATTAGATACCTTGCAATTGAGAAACCAGTTCCTTGGTGTACATTCTATTCTAAGAAATGCTGTACTACACAAATAAAAGTGGGGAGAAATTTACAGGGATGAGTGCTAAAAAAGATGTCCTTGTGGCAGGTGGTAGGGGTCCAATCTTAGAAAGCTTTTCTGTGGAGCTGTGTGTTCGTGGTTTGGTTTTTCAAGGCTGAGGATCTTATGTGTTTGTACTATCCCAGCAGTAGCTGGTGTAAACAGGTTTTTCCCTCCCTTAAACCATGGTGCCAAAGAAGACTGCATGCTGCTGCAATTACTTGTTTAGGCATATGGACCACATGCAACCTCACACAGAAAGGAAAATTAAGATTGTATTTGCCTCTGTAGATGTGTGTATGTACTGTTCCCAAAGTCATGGGATGCAATAGACTATTGCATGTTGGCCTCCTGCTGCGATTCCTTTTCTGGAGGGAATTATTTTATACATGATTTGCATTGGTACTCTTGATTTTACTCACTTGATTCAGGAAACTGTAAAGCATTTACTTCATGTAAGTTATTTATTTATTGTGAATATTTTAGTGTCTTCTAAGAATTGGCAATGGTTATGTTAAGTGATGGATGGTAAGACTGATTTGCTTAATTTTGACAAATTTAACAAACTGGATTTTCAGTTATATATTCAATACCAACTTCTGTGGCTCAATTTTCCCTCCAGTTTCTTCAAAATGTGTATTTCTTTGAAATTTACAGTGTAGCAATGGACAGAGAATGAAATGTATCTGGATTTATTTTATTAAATTTTTTGAACCAGTGTGTTTGTGTGATCTGTGGTGTTGCAGCCAGGAGGAATACATATTTCTGGAATGATTCGTTTGCCCTTACAGGTAAATATGCACAATGTTGTCATTCTTAATTAAGAGACAACAAATACACTTTTTCATCTGGTCTTTAGTTTCCCATAAAGGAAAACTAGCCAATATCACAATGAACTTTTACGTTTTAAAGTTCTTGCAGTAGAGGTAAATCCATTGTATTAGAAAACTGAAGTGCCTTTCTTTTCTCTACATTGTTTTGCTGTGTGAGCAAATAAGCCAGTTCTTTTTCATGTGAATACTGTTAGGGATTATTAAGTTAAGAGTTTTAAATCTTAATTCTACTACCAGGGATGTATTTGAAGAGTGTCATTGTAAGTTAAGCAGTTGTAAGGCAGAATAAAGCAGAACCCAGCATGTTCATGCCTGAGAGGAAGAGAACATAAAAAGTGTCTCCTAAATTCTTGAGTCTGGTATTGAATGTGAAAAACGTACCTACTTGATGGAACTGTGCTGGATTTCCAGAATTAGTTTTTCAAAATAAAATTTAACAGTGTATGGAAGTGTTTTGATTCCTGAATTTACACAGTTATACTTGAAGAATGCTGATATATCTTAAAATTGCAAACATTTTTCACAGCCAGAAGAACACTTATGTCCGACTTTCTCCCTAGAGATTCCCCAGCTTGGTTGCATTTTAGATAACTTCAAAAAGATATTTAAAGCATATTTTGTACTTCGTAAACGAATTCTGTTGAAATATTTATTTTCTGGTGTATGGGAGATGTATAGGCACTGTGAAAAAGACCACAGCACAAAAGTTTACCAAGTGTTCACAGCACTTATGTAGTCTCAACATCACACCAATTTGACTGCATTTAATAATATCAACAAGCAACTATAAAATTAAGCTTCTCTTAGAGAATAATGTTGCAATGGGAAGCAGCATTAATGTAGTTTACTGCAGACATTTCAGGACTATCCCAAATAAAACTGAAGGGGCTAACCTGAGAATGTTCTCACCTTTTAAATTTCATCAATTTGAACTTGATCCTTCTGTTGGGATGTCTAACCATGGGCCAAAACTGTCCTTTCTGCAGCAGAGTGAGATCTGTGTATGCGAAACTTCAGTACCACCTCAGAAAGCCAGCGACCACACATCTTTATGAGGGGAACAGATGGACTCTCGGGCTCAGATTGGCCCATAAGCGAATTGGGAGCGGCAGGCACGTCTAATATTACCCCGTACCACCGCACCAGTAACGGAGGTGGGCCCGGGGGGACAGCACTTGACAAAGTGGAAATTAACAGCGGGCACGGCTGGCAGCGAGGCGGCCGTGCCCCGCAGCCCTCAGCGCCCCTCACGCTCCCTCAGGGCGGGGGGGGGGCGGGCGGGGGGGGGCGGAGCGGAGCCGAGCCGAGCCGAGCGCCGCACGGGACCTGCCCATGGCCGAGAGGTAGCGGCTGAGTGCGGGGAGCCGCAGCCGGGCGGAGACGGCCGGGAGCGCGGGTGGTTTGAACTTCCAAACCGCTCGCGGCTCCGGGCGCGGGGAGGCGGGATGGCGTTCTGAGGGCTGGCGGGGCGGCACCGGCCTTCCTCGGGCTGGGAAGCGCTCGGGGCTGCCGGGGGTAAGCCGTGAGGGGCAGCCGCCGCTGCCGCGGGTGCTTGCGCTGGGCACGGCGGGCTGCGGGGCCCCGGCCGCCCTGCAGCTCCCCCAGGCATCGCTCGGTGACAGCAGAGCGGCAGGTTTGGCCGCTCTGCCTCATGGTTCGGCTGTTGGAAACTGAACCTTGAATACCGGTTTTCTAAACAACTTCAGGTAATGGGTAAAAATGTACTGCTCCGTGTTCGTGTGGCTGTGGGAGTTCATGCCTGCAGGGAGATACAAGCTTTCTCCCAAGCACAGGGTTTGCAGTACAGTTATAATTAGTTTACTAGTGCTTATGGATATGTGGATACAAAAATGAAGCACTAACTGTAATAAATAGCAAGTTGCTTAATATTTATAGAGATTTCCTACACTCTACCTGTACAAGACTAAAAACAAACAAACAAACAAAATATTTATAAAAATTCAAGGGGAGTAAAATTTGGTTTATATTTGAAGCTTTCCCTCTTTTTGCATGTAGGTCAGCTGTTTTCAAACAACTCAGTATTCTTTGTAACTGGCTGTTACTTCAGTTTTCAGAAGAAAGTGGCTGACTCACCTGATACCATCCTGAAGAATGGGCTGAACAACAGATACCGTGTGCTGGAGGTCAATGTAATACAGAGAAATGGAAGTGACCCTGAGAAACACTTGACAATTTCAGCCTCCCCCTCACTGGAAGATACAGAGCTGTGCATCCTTAGGAATGGCTGGTAATCCACACAGATATACTGGAAATACTGGATTATTGACTCAATTTTGTTTGTGTTGTCTGTGAGTTGAGTTTTACGGCCTTAAAAGTGATATGGGATCCTGAAAGAATCTTTGTTGAATGTAATATTATCAGTGTGCTAGCATAATGGATATCATCTCCAGAAACCTGATGTCAGGTAATGTGTGTTGAGTGGGCACTGCTACTCTGCAGTTTTGTCATTGTAAAAATGCCTTTATTCACTCTCAGGATTTCTTTATGTCAACTCCTTAAAAGAACCCAACCCAGCATTTCAAAGAATGTTGAATCTCCTCTGTTAGTGTGTTGTTTCTGATACGTTGTGTCTGTCATTTGCAAACACTGATTGTGTGGGTATATTCCCTTGCAGGGAGTCTGTCCCAGTGGTTCCAGGGGACATTGTTCATTTGGAAGGGGAGTGCAGCTCTGGCACCTGGCTCATCAATGCCCAGAGTGGATACCTGGTCCTGTACCCAGACCTGCTGCTCTCGGGCACCACCATCTCCAGCAGCATTCGCTGCATGAGGAGGGCAGTGCTGAGTGAACGCTTCAGGGTGAGTGTTCATTCCACACTGCCAGTGAGTTTCTGTTCCACTGACACTGGTGGCTTAGCTCAGTGTCAAATCCGGCTGTTAGAGATGTCATTATTAGCAATTCATAATGTTTACAACACAGAATAATTTGGGGTGGAAACTGTCTCTGGTTGAGCTTCTCTTGGTTTTTTGAGAATTGCACCTGAAATAATGCAGTACTCTTAATACAGTTACTGGTCTAAAGAACTGGTCTTTCCACTTATAATTATCATAATTTTTTTTAGAATCTCTTGCCACATTTTTTGTGGATATGAATTCTTTGTGAGGGATATGTCTCTTGCCATCCATATGAAAATGTAACCACACTGGGCCAAGTTAAGAGCTTCTGAAAAACGTAGCTAATTCAGTTAATAATTGGTGTGGGCTAACTCTGGAGTCTGAATCCAGCAGCTCTGTCTTGGAAAGAGGAGAAGTTTCTTGTGGTAGTATCTTTGCTGATACATGAGAGATGTGCTGATAAATGGAGAAGCAGCAGCTGCTAGTTTCAGCTGGTGAAAACTCCCAGGCATGATAGGAATATAAGTCCAAATGAATAAGAAAATTTTAATAGAGTGGTAAACAGCCTGGCTGGGAACCTGTGACTGGAACATGAAAAGTACAGGAGATTAAGACTATGAAATGGTCTTCAATCCTTTATTAGAGAGTAAGGGGGATAAAATAATTGTTGGGACAATTCACAGGGTCCTGACTGGGATAGCACCATCCACCTGTTGTGAGTGCAATCCACTGGTCTGTAAGAGTGCCATAATACCACAGTTTGTGCCATAATACCACAGCTGTTTGGTAGTGACTCGTGTCAAGGTCGTTTACTACCACTTTCAGTTCTTGTGAGTCTCCAGAGCCCAGCCCTGCTGATGGGTTTCTGAGCCATGTTGGTGATACATGGGATGATTTTGCTGTGAGCATGGTAACAGACAGGAAACTGCTTCATGCAAGAGATCTGTGTAAGATTGTAAAAGTACATATTTGCATTAGGAAATGCCTGCAGGCAGAATTTTCTCAAAATTTATTTTAATCTGTGCCTTTGTTTCTCACCTGCCAGTCACAGAGATTGTATCCTGACATAGTCAGGGTTGGGATAAAGCAACAAGTGAGACCCACTTCAATTCAGCTGCTCTCACAGGCAGGTTTGACCAGATAATCATTAGTGAGGTGAAAGCTGTTATGATTTTGTAGTTAAATAAGTGCAGGCTGTGATGTGCAGCAAATAAAATCCAGAAATTTGACAGAGAAGTTGGCATGAAATGGGCATAAATCTTCAGGTATGATGACATCTGTTGCAGGGCTCCGAGTCGGGTTCGCCCCAAATGCTCGTTGGGACAATTCTTCATGACATCTTCCAGCAATCAGTCACCAATAACTTGACACAAGAAAAGGTGCAAGAACTAGCAAATAAAATTGTGTATGGACAAAAGTACCTCAAAGAAATGTAAGTAGCATTACAACTGCCTTTTATGTGTGGAAGACAGGGCAGGAACACTTTGAACTTGCAATTTAAGTTGTACTTTAAAAAATGTAGCACTGATATCAGGAGAGTGTTCTGCCAAATGACTTTGCTTAATGGAAACTGGGGATCTTTTAGTAAGATAATTCCCCATTTGATAGCTTAATTTATTTGTCTTCCCTGCTATGCTACTTCTATATGTCTGAACTAGTCTTTTGGAGTAACTGTATGTGGCAGGGTGGTTTTTTTACTTTTAGGCCAAGCAGGTTGCAGTGTTTGTGTCTGTAATGTTAGATTTCCAGGCATCTCCCAAAGCTGATTTGGGTGGGACAAATAGTTAATTATGGTCCTCAGCAATGAACCTGGAAACTTGTAACTGACCCAGAACTGGATGTCTGATAATTTCATATCTTTATCAGTTGCTTTAAGTCTCAGTTGTTAGAAGACCTTTAACTTATTTTCTTAGCAAAGCTGATAGAAATGCTAGCCAAACAAATAGTATTTCCATCAGAAAATGGGAAGATGAATGGCTGTCAGTTTTAACATTTTACTGCAGGCTTGATTAAAATACAATTCTACTCATGTAAATTAAAAATCATTATATATGTACTGTTTTAAATTGTATGTTGGGCAATATCAGTACCTGTTAGCCCCAGATGAGTCAGAAGTTAAAGCTGTAGTGGCAAGAGTTATTACTCTTAGTTCTGTTTTGGAGATAATATTTTGAATTGTGGCTCCTAAGATTACTTAAAGGCCTTTATGTCATTTTGAGCCTCCATGAAACTGTTAATTTGCAATTCCTTTTTGCATATGTAGGCTATTGTTTATTGGCATGGAAAAATAAGTTGTATAAGTCTGCTGCCTGTGATCAATTGCACTCCTATGAACCTTTTTATGCAAAATCCACTTGTATTTCTCTGTTGCTGTAGAATAATGGCATTATTTCCAGTGGTTGCCAGTACTGAATTATCTAGTGCCACATGATTAGATTCTGTGTCATGTTCTGTTAAAATGTGTGTCAGGAGCAGATGAGGGTATCCAGACTAAAAGCAAATGGTCTTTTAATTTTTTTATTCAACATTGCATGAATTGTAGGAATAGCCATTTTTAAATGCATGAGTCTGGTACTGCTTTCCTGCAGTCACACTGTTAGTTTTGTTTCATCACATCTGCCACGCTGATGCTCTCAGTGTGCTGTACCTGTTGTTTCAAAGGTTACATCAGAAATGGATGTTCTGCTATAGTATATCTCTTTTAATAGATGTTCAGTTAATAGCTTTAGGAATTGAGTTGAACCTCTATGCACCTGTTGTTATCTACAGTTTGTAGATATTTATAAAAACTTGACAGTTACTTCCAATGATCTTGTTGCTACTCAAGGCAAATCTCTTTAGTTCCAACAGCTGATTTAATACTTTGTTTCTTTAATGCTTTAATGTGCATGTCTTTTTTTTCTTTTTTTTTTTTTAGGTATGTCTTAAATCTGAAACAAGCACAAATAATGCAAGAAGTAGAAGAATATTTGCCATCATTTTTTAAGTGGGCAGAAGACTTCATACACAATCCTGCAAACCAAAACAAAATGCAACTAAAACTGTAAGAAGCCAGAATTAAATTTTAAACCCTTCTATGTTGTATATCTTGTTTAGTTTACTTGAAATTTTTAGAACTCCTTATGCACATCTGTTGGGTGATTTGGAGCTAATTCATGGCCTCACTGATTGTAGAGCTGACCTTATACTGCATGTTTAGCTGCCATTGTGAGTACTGGGCAAGACATGAAGCCTGAGGGGGAACTGACTTCAAAATCTTTAAATCCTTTAAATCCATGAACAGCATGGTACAAACCATAGCTTTTAGTGAGCAGAAGAGCAAGGGTATTTGAGCTGCTGACTAAACTAGGAGTTACTGTAGTTCTGAGCAAGACTACATATCAGAATGTGAAACTATTAATCAAATGGAGTTCTTGACTAATAAAAGATTTCTTTGGTGAAGTGGTGATTTTACTCAAAAGCTGCTGAACTCTTCTTGTCCGTGGCTTCTTGCTGTTAATTTTAACCAGAGAGTGTTAGAGTTTTAGTGAAATGGCAGGTCCGAGTAAAACCTGTAGGCTACTGTCAAATGTATGACAGAGTGTGGTTATTGAGATAAGACCAAAAACTAGTAAAAATAGTTTAAAGTCTTGTTTTAACTTTGAAATTTAGGTGAATACCAAAACTAACTGATGTTACTTTCTGATGTGTTTCTTCCTCTGTTAATGGGAAGATTACTTTGAGTGAGACTCGAGGCATTTTATTTCTAAAGTTAGTGCCTAAAGGGCACTGGTAATGCAGAAATATTATATATTGAGTTGCAACACATTTTAATGTTTAAATATTAATAATTAAGGGAAATTGTTAACTTTTGGCTTAATTTTCTTCCTAGGTCAAATGATGGAAAAACAGAAGATGTATCTTCTAAGATAGAGGTTGTAGATATCTTGGACATTGAAGAGAATATCTGGTCTCCCAGGTTTGGGTTGAAGGGAAAGATTGATGTTACAGCCAGGGTGAAAATCCATTGCCAGTCAGGAGTACAGTCTCGGATAATGCCTTTAGAGCTCAAGTCTGGCAAGGAATCAAACTCCATAGAGCACAGAAGTCAGGTACAAGCACCAAATGTCTAATTCCACTCTCAGTGGCTGCGTGTGTTTCTTTGTTAGGTGACCTATTTTGTCTTATGAGTATGAAACACTTTGTATGTGGTATAATCTGAATTCATGGGTGGCTCATCCTGGCATGCCCAAAGCTGCTGGTATAAAATTAAAGTGAACTTAGTAGTAAGAAGTATGTACATTTACCACCTTCAAGCACGCTTATGGGTTTTGTCCTGAAATGTCTGTTCTTTAGTCTCTTCTTACTACATTCAAATATTAGGTTGAAGCAGACTGTTTCAGTAACTAGGGTTATACATATTTCTATATAGCTGGCCTGATTTAGAGAGGTAGTAGCCTTGAGAAAAGGTTTTAGAGATGCCTTTTAATTTAAATCCTTGGTCAAGTTCTTACTACTTACAGCTTCTAGATGACTTGTGATAATAATGGCTGTTTAGCCATATAAATTGTGGAAGAACTAAATACAGTTTAGAATGTGTTTTGGTTTTAATTCTGTGCTGATTTTGACTGGGGTTAGCAATGGTTTTCCTCACAGTAGATAAATGTGGACTGTGTTTTGGGTTTGTGCTGAGCACAGGCTGATAACACAGGGATGTTCTGCTGTTGTTGCTGAGCAGAGCCAAGGCCTTTCCTGCTCCCCCCAGGACCAGGCTGGGGAGGAGCCTGGGGCTGATGGGAAGTGAGGGGACAGCCAGGACAGGGGACCCCAGGGATCAAGGGATGTCCCAGACCAGGTAGCTGATCATCATACTCACTATCTAAGATCGGGGAAAGAAGGACGAAGAGTGGGGTGCACTCCAAGGTTTGGAGTGATGGATATTTGCCTTCCCAAAGCACCATTCCGTGTGATGGGGCCCTGCTCTCCTGGGTTGAACACCTGCCCAGCCATGGAAAGCCATGAATGAATTCTTGTTTTGCTTTGCTTGCATGTGTGGCTTTTCTTTTCCATCTTAAACTGTCTTTATCTCAACCATCAGCAAGGGTGGGGAGGTGAGTGAGCAGCTGTGTGGCACTTGGTTGCTGCTTGGGGTTAAACCACAACAACTATACAGGAATAAGATGTATTTCAGTGTGTATATATGTATTTATGTATAATGTTTGCAGGTTATTCTCTACACTTTGCTGAATTTAGAGCGGAGAGTGGATCCTGAAGCTGGATTTCTGCTTTATCTAAAAACTGGTACAATGTATCCTGTTTCAGGAGCTCGCATGGACCGAAGAGGTAAAGTTCTTCCCCTTCTCTGGAAACCATAATTCTCTTAAATATTACTGAAATTTTTCTTTATAACTGTAAAGTTTACTCTTATGAAAATAGCTGTTCTTGGGGATGCTTCACTTGTTACTAAGCTTATGTTAAAAATTCAGTTGTTTTATTAACACGGTGCAAGGACTTGGTGAATAATCAGTGCTTAGTTGACTAAAAAGTTGATAGCTAATTACTTTTGAAGTATAAATTGTTACAAGCAAAATCATCAGCTTAGTTTATCCTTTTCTTGACAGAATTAATGAAATTAAGAAATCATGTTGCCTTCTACTTGACACACAGTACATATAAATCCGATGTGGGAAGGCAGAATTCACAGCTTGCTGCTTTGCCTCCTGTGATTGATGACAGTCAAACATGTAAATATTGCTCCCAAATGCACAACTGCTTTCTATACAGCAGGTAAAAAAAAAAAAAAAAAGTCTGACTAATGTTTTTAAATGAGATTAAATAATTATATCTTTTGATATAATAATTTCATTTTTGTGGTTGACAGTTTTGTATATATTGAAGACTTTTCCACCCCAAAAGAATCTTCCACAGATTTCCCTACAACTTGTATGATTCAGCTCGTGATCTCACAGAGACTTAATATGTTTGCTCAGGTACACTTTTTGCAAGACAAAATCTGAGATAAGTCTCAACAAAATACTTGATGACAATAACAGATCTGTTTTAAAAGCTGTATTACCTGCAGCTCTCTGAAAAAGGCAATCTCTGGGCCTGAGTTCTGGCTGGAGAAGCACTTTTTCAGGTTCACTCTGCAGAAGATTGTTTCCCTGTAGGGTATGACACAAGAAATACATTGATACTACTCTGCTGAAGTGTTACTGCATCTCCTGGTCAACAGAAGTAGTGAGCAAATATTCCATAAAATTTCACACAAAGTTATTGAACTGTTTTAACAACTGTTACAAGTTTTAGTCTCTATGCTGCACAAAAAACAACCAAAATTGTATGTGGAAGAGATCAAATGAGGTTTGTTAGAAAAGGAGAGCCTTTGGGGTGGTCTTGTGGAATTAGAATGCCTGATTGTTTTTAAAATTATAGGGGTCAAAGTGTATGTTGAGGGAGCTTTGTAGGGATACCTGACACGTTTCTGTGAAATCCTGCTTCTAATACTCACTTGTTGCAGCAGCAGGATATAGCTGGATAGCTATTTACTTCTGCATAAGCTTTTCTCTCTCTGGATGTATACATTATTTGGTATAATGTCTATTGATATTTAGTTTTGAAATAAGTTGGCTTGAAGTTTGCTTGTGTATTAACTATTAAATACCCATTGATTAGCTAGATATCAAAATAACACTCCTATGTTACAATGAAAGGAGTAAAAGGTAGACTCTGTAAATATATGTGTTACTATCTTTGAAATGCCTTTATTTGGTCTTTGATTAACTTAGTGCCCTTCAAAATCATAGAGATGATGTGAAGTTACTCATACAAGATTATGCATCTGAGCAACGGATACAGGTTCTACTTTATTCAAGTAATGATAAATTAATCTGTCTCTGGTATGTTACAGTAGGTATTTGGATTGTTGTTATGAACATATGGACTTGCAGGTGAAAAAGGATGCAGGCTGAGCCTTTCTGTGGCTGGTTCTGTCCCTAGAGCTGTGGAGCAGAAGATGGCCAGTGTGGCCTTTCCTCCTGCTTTGGTGCCTGTCATTGACAGAGAGACCCAGCACCTGAAACCCTCCCACTTGGAGTATTTCAGCCTCTGGTATCTGATGTTAACCTTGGAGCTACAAAGTGGAGAGCATAAAAAAGGAAATAAAAATATATGGATGACACCTTCTTTGGAAAGGTAAGGTTTCATTTCTAAACTCATGCCAATGATGCTTCCTTTTATCCTTTTGTTTGATTTCTATTTTGGTTTTGATGGTTGGTTGTGGGTGGTATGGTTTTTTTACTTGTGGGGTTTTATTCTTAATAGTTCTCTTACAGAGAGGATGTTAATATTAAAATATTTCTTTTTTTAATATCTTCAGAGAGAAGGCTGGAGATTGTGTTGGAAACATGGTCAGAATTGATGAAGTCCATGAAGTTTCTGAGGGACAGTTTCTACATTTTTTCCAGCGTAGAAATGGTGCCTTATCTGGGACAAACCTGTTGGTTGGTGATCGAGTGGTTGTGAGTGGAGAGGAAAAAGGTTTACTTGGTTTGGCTGCTGGCTATGTTAGAGAAGTCAGTGGAACAAAAGTCTCCTGTTTGTTGGGCAGGTAATAGGATAAAAAGAAAAGTATCTGTTTGCAAACTCTCTGGCACTGGCTTGAGGAAGGGTGCTGCTAGGTGTCCAAAAAGCTGTGACATGTCCTGACCCTTCCTACTGGTGATGCCTCAGGTTTTAGCTTTTCTATTTTTCATATTCTGTGCTGCTTTAGTGTGTGGGTCTGGGCTTCATATTAGGGGATGGTGAGCTCTCTGCACAGAGTAGGGAGACAAAACAATTCCTTCTCTATCTGGGGACCAAGCACAACCACCCAAATTTCAGGCCTGAGAGCACAAACAACATGGACTGAAGAGAGAAAAACAAGCTGGACAGGACTACATGGGCTAAAGCTGGAATTGGACAATTGACTCCAATATACAAATGGCCCAGAACTTATAAAAGTGAGAGACTGTGACTGGTTGTCCATTTTGTGACCATTTTGGTTCATCTTGGGTGTAGCCCTGGCTGGGCTCTTGTGCTGCCCAAGGTGGATCCACTGAGGCCTCCTAATAAATCCCTACTTTATTCTTTAGCTCCATCTAGCCTCTGTTCTGGGCCAGCCTTCCCAAGGCATCACTGCCTTTGGAGTAGTACCCTTCAGGAATTCTCTTGTTTTGGCTGAAACTGTCAGTACCTGATCAGTATATATGCCTGTCTGTTGAACCAGGTTGTTTGAATAAAAGCACATTTTAACTCTTTACTTACATCTCTAGAATGAATCTATATGGATACAGTGATTACTGTGTTAATAGTAACTTTCATTGTTCAGTCTTTATTGTCTTTAAATTGGGCCTATGTTTTATTATCCCTCATTGGGATCATGCTTTCTTTAGATCAGTTAACAGTGTATTTCAATTAGTGTTGCTTCACTCTGGGATCTCTGGAAGATATCATTTAACATGTAGTAATAAGCCTTTAATCAACATACAACTGGTAAACAAAATTATTTTATCCATGTTCTTGTCATCCTTCAGGAATTTGTCAAACCTCCCCAAGAACACTGTATTTAGATTGGATCATGATGAAGGAGATGTTGGTACAGGAGTCCCTTTTAAAAATCTTTCTAAATTGATGAAAGATTGCCCAGTCAGGTATGAAAAATCAACTTAATTCCACGCTTTCAGTATTTTCAGATGAAGTTTCTCAACTGGCAACTCTTATTTGAATTCAGTTTTGTCTTGTTTTTATCCACAGTGAAAGGCTCCGCAACTTGATAATTGACTTCCAGAAACCACGTTTCATTCAGCATTTGAGCTCTGTCCTTCCTCCTGAAGCAAAGGAAACTGTTGCAAATATTTTAAAGGGTACAAAGTGACTTTCCCCAAAATACTCTGTTTACTAGTATGGCTCTATAGCCAAAGTATTTATCATGCTATAAATTTAAGGAGTTTTTCCTACTTTGGGACCCTGTGAACGTTCTCAGCTTGAAAATTAAAACCAAGTTCTTGCCTTGCATGTCTTCCAGCTAGCTGAAGACTCATTTAATCACAGGAAGACTTGATCAGCCCCTTGCTGACAACTTTATTTTACTTTTGCTAGAGGCTGCAGTGTGCAGTGCAGACAGAGGGCCATGTGATTCCCTCTGTAACCTTTCCAGAAGGAATGGACAGAGACAGCTCTGGAGGAAGCTGACTTGAGGGAGAGGAAGGAGATGGGCTTTGGTGGAAACATTCACTTGTATAATCAATCACTCTTGCTGACTTGTTGACAAGTGTCAACATAGTGTTGTGCTTTGTGGCATTTATTTAAAAACAAGACTTGTTTGGGTATGAGGCAGCATCTTGTATTTGGTAGAAATATTTCCTTGTGCTCTGACAGAGTTGCCTGTGAAAACATAAATTTAACTGAGTTGTCTTAAAGCAAACTGAATTTTTTATAAAAACTCAGTTTGAAATCTTTTGCTTGAGATTTACTTAGTCCAAATAGCTGAAATGTGCTGCTTGTTTGCATCAGGCTGGGGCAAACCAGCTCTGCTGTAATGTTTGTTCTAAACAACATGCTGCTGTATGTGCAACTCATCAGCCCTTGCTGTGAGCTGTGGGTTTGGGTGTGAAATGTCCAGACACAATACATGAAGGGGGTCAATTAAGATATTAGAAAAAAAAAGTCACAAAAGGTCTAAAAATAATGTCTTCAGTGACTTATTTCTAGGACCATAGTGCAGACCTTTTACTACTTATCTTGTGTATTATGTTTATTGCCATATCTTCATTAGAACCTACAGACTTTGCTCAGTTCTTGCCTCTATTAAGGGCTTTAGTGAAGGAGAAAATTACAGTTTTGCTGTGACTTTAGTAATTATTATGATTATGATGAAGTGTAGTAATTTAATTTTGCTTTTTCTTCTGAAAGGTCTAAATAAGCCTCAGAAACAGGCAATGAAACAAGTGCTGCTTTCAAAAGACTACACACTTATTGTGGGTATGCCTGGAACAGGAAAAACGACTACAATATGTGCTCTAGTAAGATCATGTACCTTGGAGTTTTGATTTTTTTTGTGAGATTGAGAGGATAGAATTAAACCAATTATGTAGTGTCATGACTTAATCTAACAGTATCTGTATAATTTCAAGGAAGAAAACACACTTCTTTTTGCTTAACCTATATTTGGTAGAACTAAAATTGGATTTTGTGGAGTAGGATGGTCAATTGCTTGTGTAGGAATGTATGTGGGAGGGAGGAGATTGAAGTGTCATATTTAATCATTTCTGTGATACTTTAGTGTTAAAATTCTTTGGCTCCAAATATCAGCAAGTCTTCAGATCTTGAGTTATAGCTCAAAAGAGGGACTCTTGAGCAGCCAGTAACTTGTCCACTGTAAATTGGGTGAACCTGTGGGCTGGATCCATGTGCAGTCTGCATCCATCTCCTCTAGCTGGTGGTTCTCTTTCCCCCAGGAAAGGACTGTAGGAGCATACTGCATTCAGGCTGTGGGCTGAGTGAGGTTTTCGTGAAAGAGCAGTGTTACCCTGCTTCCATTTGTCATCAGCTCGTGCAAAGAGGAGGCTGGAGAGCAGATAGCTGCTGCTATCTTCAGATCAGCCCATTGCCCTGAATCTCCAGTGGCTGAACTGCCATGGAGAGCAGTCCTATGGGAACAGGCTGCCTGGCTTCTTCTTCCAGTGGGGATCTTAGAGTGCAGTTCCTTGGGAGTGCACATCCAGGTTCTTGGCTCTGTGTGAGCAGTGTTGAGAGCCTGCTGGCCATGGGAACCCTCAGCACTGTTGCCCACATTGTCAGTGGCCAGTCTGGCCAGAGAGACTGATACAGACCAAGTCATGCTTATTCCTGACTCCCTCCAAAACCTCTTGTGCTTTTCACCTTAGCAAACCTGGGATTATTGATTCTTGCAGATGAATCCTTTTCTGCTTCTCCTTAACAGCTTCTCCTTTTCCTTTCCTTTGCCACTCATTAGGTGAGAATTCTTTCTGCCTGTGGCTTTAGTGTCCTTTTGACCAGTTTTACACACACGGCTGTGGACAATGTCCTGCTGAAGTTGGCCAAATTCAAAGTTGGTTTCTTGCGCTTGGGGCAAGCTCAGAAGGTTCATCCAGATATTCAGAAATATACAGAAGAAGAAATCTGCAGGTCCAGATCAATTAAGTCTGTAACAGATTTGGAAGAGGTCTATAATAGTCAGGTGAGAAATTTATTTTTTTTTGCTAGCTCTTCAAATTATTAAAGATAATTACATTAGTATTTTGTTTGGATGCTGCAGAGAAGGAACCCATCCCAAGGGTGTGTACTGCTGTAAGAAATCTGAGCTGAAAGAGATACTCAACCTCTGCATTGTTTCAATTTCTTTATAGCCAGTAATGACCTACATAAAGTCTGCAAGCTGAGAAGCTTTGTTTATGGCCACTCAAAGTAACTCATCATTGTAAGTAATAAGCCCCAAAGACTCCAGTGCTTTTATCTGAGGTCTTGTGAATGGGCTGCTGCATTTAGCATTATTTACATCCTTTAGCATTATTTACATCCTTTAGCATTATTTACATTCTGCTGCTGTTTGTCCCTTCTCCCTCCCGCTGGTGCTCCTTGTGCCATTAGTGCAATCAGCAGATGGGGAAGAGGAAGTGGAATGCTGTGGAGCTGACCTGGCCAAACCCTTATTTTTGATTGAAAGATTAGTGCTGTCTGTGTGAATGTTAATGCAAACCATAATGGGAGCAGGGTCATGTGAGTCAGTGGCAGCTTTAAATTAAATTCACTGAAAGAATAAGGTTTGATGGTAGTTGGAGTAAATGCCAACTTCACAAAAGCTGCCATTTACTTTTTATTGATAAGTATTGCTGGGGAATGCCTGAAGTCATACGGGGAATGACTTGGCATTTCTTATTTTGGTCATTTTGGATTGCAGTGGAAGCACAGCAGCGGGAAGAACTGTGCTGCTGTTGTTTTATCTTTTCTTCAGTATTGAAAAAAACCACCAAACCACCTGATTTTTCACTGCAGTCATTTCAGCACACTCCATGAATTGTCCATGAATAGAACCTGGCATCACTCTGAACACATGACAGGAACAAGTTGTTTGCTACAGTCTGCTCTAAAGCTGGTTTTGTTTGTCACTTGCAATTGATACAAGAATATGTCAGGCCAATATATATTTAAGTGATGCTGGTCTGATTTCAAGGATAATAAGTAATCAATAAAATAATTTGATTTCTGTAATTTTACAGTTTAATTCAGTTTAATGGGAAATATTTTTTCTTACAATATGAAGAATATAGTGCTAAAGGATATAAAATGTACCTTATCCTTGAAGTGTGTCTCAATTTTCAGCCAGTGGTAGCAACGTCTTGCATGGGAGTAAATCACCCCATCTTTGCTCAGAAGCAATTTGACTTCTGTATTGTTGATGAAGCTTCCCAAATCAGCCAGCTTGTCTGCCTGGGCCCACTGTTCTGCTCCAAAAGGTTTGTGCTGGTGGGGGATCATCAGCAGCTGCCTCCACTTGTGCTGAATGCAGAAGCAAGGTAAGATAAAATGCTGCTGGACAATTACTAATCACAGATTCTGGGAAGGGTCTTGCAGTGTTCTGATTGACACATTTTGATTTTTGTCTTTGTGTTGTAACAGAGATCTTGGCATGAGTGAAAGCTTATTTAAAAGGCTGGAACAAAACCAAAATGCTGTTGTCCAATTAACTGTGCAATACAGAATGAATAGGTACTTTCAATGTTTATTTATTTTAAAAAATTATTTATCATGTGTTCTTGATGTGGGATTGAAATGGTGAGATTTTTATGCCTTTTCTTGTTTTTTTAAATCTTTAGTAAGATTATGTCATTGAGTAACATGCTGGTATATGAAGGCAAACTGGAATGTGGCTCAGAGAAGGTGTCAAATGCCACTGTTAACTTGCCCAACCTAAAGAAATTGAAACTGGACCTTGGGGATGCTTCAAAAACGTGGCTGAAAGAAGTCCTTGATCCAGACACACCTGTGTGTTTTCTGAACACAGAAAAGGTAAAATTCATTATGCTCTTTCAACATGTAAAACTTCATTCAGGGTAGGGTAAAACAGGGAACTTCAGAAAGTGTTTTTCCAGCATCATGTGAAATGTGCAGCACACAAAAGCATCGTTGGTATTGTTGGCAGAGCTGAGCAGGGTGGTACAACTGCTGCTGGAAACATCACATCTGAGAAAGCTGAAAACTTGAATTTAAATACTATTTCAGAAAATATTGAATGGACTTTAAACTTTGCTTTTCCTGTAAAGTGTAGCTCAAAGTGTGTAGCTGTACTGGATGTCCTTGCAACCAGGGAATGGCCTTGTTTCCCTTGGCTGAGGGTCATTGGTGGCAAAGCTGTGTGCCAGTGGCAGCAATAACTGCAATTCTCCATGGAATTTTGCAGACATTCTATACATTGAACTGCAAAGGATGAATAAGTTGTTTTAGGTGTGTCCTTTCATGGAGACCCAGAATTTTGCTGGGAAAGTAAAATTCTTGTGCAGATAAAAATTCTGCAAAGAAACTGACTTGCAGGAAAAATGAGGAAGAGTTTAAATGCATGAGGAAAAAGATGAATAAATTAATACCTGTTTGTGGTCTCTAATAATTGTCACTGTAATTGGCGATTTGATTATGATTTGAGTCTTTCTTCCTCCTTAACAGGTTTTGTGTTGATTCCTATTAATGCTGTATTGTGCCAATAATTATATCAACTGATGATCTTTTATACTGACCCTGGTTAGAACTCACCAGTGTTTCTGTGCTCTTTTGACATTGTACAGGATTCATGGTTTTTTTCCAACAGTTCTGATAGAATCTTTTTAATGACCTGAAAACAAGCAGTGTTTACTTTGATGCCTTAGAGAAATTTCTAAAAATGTCTAAACTAAACAGAGATATTTTCCAGGAATGCCTTGATAGCTGGAAAGCAGGCAGTTGGTCCCAGGGAAGAGGCCTGTTAATAGGAATATGGCTGAACCACTGTTTATCTAGTGATGATAGCAAAATTGCCAATGAAAAAAGTAGAGTTTCTGTTCCATTTTTTCTCTCTTAGAAAGCCCATCTCAAGTGTAAGACAGCTGTCCTCTTCACAGAGCCAGGAGGAAAGTTTTTATTTCCAAAATATCCTAGATTTGTTGAGACATGAGGCTATAATGTCATTTTGCCTTTTGGACTTCCTGTCAGAACTCCATGTGTGGTGGCAATCATGAAGGGAGAAATTAAAAAAGCCCCACTGAACATGACAACAAACAAAACCAGCTTTTATTTCCTTTCACTTCATAGTAGGTTTTTTCCCCCCCTGTATTGTTTATAGTGTAACCAAGAAATGCTTATGAAGAAGTAGACTTGGGGGGAGGGATACAAACAGAGAGAGAAGGAAGAGGAAAAAATACCATGACACCACCAGGAATCTTACATTTATTGTGCTGGCTTTAAAAAAAAAGAAGAAAAAGCATCTATTGTTTTCTGCTTAACAATGCAACAAGTTTGTGACAGCAATGGGAAATCTATTTGTTTCTTTTCTGTCAACCCCTGTGTCAGTCTGCACTTCTCTGACAGCTTGGGGCTGGTGGTTTGAAAAATGACATCCTTGATTTAGGGCAAGTCTCCTGAGAATTTCTAGGCCCAAGTTGTTTTTGTTGGTGGTTCTGCTGGTGTCCTGTGGGAACAGGAGAAATATAAATGTAAGCATGTGTCACCATAAGCATGACACAGCTTTTAGAACTTCTTTCCTGAGATTATTTTTGTGTAGTTTTTAGCTACACTAATGCCAGTGTGGTCAGAAATAAACTGTGCAGTAAAACAGTGCTCTTCTGCTTTAAGAGAACTTGAGCACATGGAATTAGGAGGCTTCCAAACACTCTTTCATTGCTCTTGGTGCTACTTCAACTTTAGAGAAGGCAGGAGTCAAGCAAAGAGAAAAAATTACAAAACTGTGACACTACAATGACAAGAGTTTACATCCTGAGCTTGTTGGCCTCATTTATATATGATGTAAAGAATGGCAGGTAATAGTTAAGAAATGGTAAATCCAGTGAATACTTTATTTAAAGGTTGGGAGTTTATATCACAATTTAATACCACCATTTTGGATAGTTCGTGCTATAGCTTTAGATGTAGGCTTTCAAACATTAAACAATTATCCCTTCTGTCATGGAATGAAGAAAGCTCACTAAAAATAATGTTGTATGGAAAGTGTTAGAGCAGAAGTCCCATGTAAATTATAATTTGCTCTCTTACCTTATCAGCAGGAAAATGTTCATTTTTGGTTTTTTTGATTTAAGATGTATAATGCTGAACTGTAAAGTCAGATGATTAAGTTTGCCAGTTTCTTAAGGTGACAAGCTAGTGCTAGAGACTTATTTTGGGGATTGTTCCAATTTGTTTTGCAAATGCAGTATTCTGAAGTTAACTCACAGTACAGGCTCTTCTGTTTAGTAAAACTTAGCATTTAACTTTATTTCTTTAATTAATACCATCAGTATAAATCCACATACGACTCAGTGAGTTAGGGACAGAACATAGTACCCCATTACAGACAGCAAAAGTAATTGTTTTCTGTTTGTATTTTTAAAGGTCCCAGCACCAGAACATGCAGAAAAAGGTGGCATAAGCAATGTGACAGAAGCTAAAATAGTGCTTTTCCTCACATCCTTATTTATTAAGGTATCTTTTACTTTATTACATGGTTTGGAGGGATGCCTTTAATATTTTCACATTGCTTTAGTAGTCGTGACTGTATGTGTTGGGTAGCTCTCTTGGGGATAATCCTAAGGATAAATTTAAGGATAAATTGAAAATTGGCTTCATGTCAGCGTAGTGGGGAGCCTGACGTCTGCATTCTCTTCCCTGTTCTTGCCTGCTTGGATCTGAGATGCAAAAAACAAAAGCTGGATGCCAAATTCTTTTAAGAGATGAGGGCTTTCTTGGGAGGGAGGGCAGAGGATTTGCCTTTGTTCCTTATTTCATCCAGAAACACAGACCAGGAGCTCTAAGTGTTCATCTTGCAGTTTAAAGAAGAAAGAAAAATGAGGATTTCAAGGATATCTGTCTTTGTGCCAAGTTAAGACAAAGCTTGGGAGCTTGCAGTAACTGATGTTTTCTATCTCCTTTAGTTAATATTAGTTACACCTACAGTTCCATTAGTTTAGATACAATATCTTGCAGCACTGTTTATAAAACAAATTAATTAGAAGAATCTTTCTGACCATACTGAGTTTCCCAAGCCAACTGCAGTGACAGATTTTTTCTCTGGTTTCTTCTTCATTCAGGCTGGCTGTAAGCCCTCAGACATTGGCATTATATCACCCTACAGACATCAGTTAAAAACAATCACTGACTTGATGGCAAAATGGAAGGAGAACAGAGTGGAAGTTAACACAGTTGACAAATACCAAGGAAGAGACAAAAGTATCATAATTGTGTCTTTTGTTAGGAGCAGTATTGATGAAAATGTAAGTTGGTCATTTGAACTTTGTTCCAGTCAATTCCAGTAGTTTAGATGCATTTTGAGGATGAGTGGTTTATGTCCATTAAGTAGGAGAAATAAAAGCAAGTGACATTTATTTCCCAGCTTGGCACCCTGCTGAAGGACTGGCGCCGCCTGAACGTTGCCATCACCAGAGCCAAGCACAAGCTGGTCATGGTGGGCTGTGTTCCATCCCTGTGCTGCTATCCTCCCCTGGAGAAGCTCCTCTGCCATTTGCAGTCCCAGGCAATGATATCCTTTTTCTCCATGCTGGTTTGGGAAAGGGGAAAGGTAGGATTGACTCACTGAGATTTGAGGTAAGAATGGGAAGATTTCCGTTGTTTAGGTTATACTTTTAACAGTGATTGGCAGACAATCACTGTTAAGTTGATCACACAAAATGTGCTGATTAGATTTGCCAGAAGTGTACTTGAGATCAAGCAAGTGGATGGGTTTAGAACCTTCTCTGTCTTCAGCAGAAAAAGTCAGTGCTGACTTGCAAGTCAACTTGGACAATTTTTTGATTTCGATGCCTGAATTTTTAATTTTTAATGCTTTTGCATTTTTTCTTGTGATCATTTCAAGTTTCTTGGCATCTTAACATCAGTATGATTGCTTTCTTCCACTGAACACATCTGCTTCATGAATAATCTTGGTGGAAAGGAAAATAGTGTAACTTTCAGATGACTTGGTAATTTTTTTTATTTCTCTCTGGCATTGTACTGAATAAGCTTTAGCTATTGCTGTTTCCATCTCCTATTTAAACAGGAAAGAACCTTGTTAGCTGCTTTCTTTGCAAACACCAGTGCATATTCTAACAGATTTTGTGAAAGCCAAGTGTTGTTAAAATGCTTTCTTAACTTGCTACATCTTGAATCTTCCAGCCGGGGCTCATGAAAGTATCCACAAGTGCAACATCTTGTGAGTGTGAAGATGGAAAATTTTGCAGACCTTTGTATCTTCTCTTCTGCTGTTGTTTAATGAAAATAGCTGGTAATTGGGGTATCTGTGCTGATGTGCACTGTTCAGTCTGCAGGCAGCCAAAACAGGAAGCATTCAATTATTTGGAAGTTTCCTTTCAGTGGAATAACAGACATTTCTTAAAAAAGCTGATGGTTACAGTACTAAAGCACCCAGCTTACTTGTGACAAACCAGAAATATGAAGCACTCCGTTCCTTCCACTGCTGGATATTGCTATATTCTCTTTTACCTTGGTGAACAGTTACCTGCAGAAGTGAGTGGGGAAACACTTGAAGAGGAAGGGAGCGTAAACCAGTACTGTATTGAGCCACAGTTTTCTGGGCTCAATTTGGTTTTAAAAACTTGAAAATGTAGTTTACATACAATAACTTAACTTGTTAGAATTCCTAATAAAGGTGCTGTGCTGTTTGAAAAAAAAAAATAGAAAAAACCTCTTCCTCTTCTTCAAAACTTCACAAGTCTACTCCTGCTTTTAAAAGTGCTGAAGTCTTTTATATTTATATACATAATGTAGTTAATCTCTCATGTGAAGATCCCTTGATGACATTTCTAATCTCTTGATTTTGCATACCTCAGGGAGAAATGTGATGCTGATTTCACTTAATCCCCTGTTATTAACTTATGTGTTCAGCAGATCAATCTGAAGTGAAATGCTTCATAGTAGAACTCTTGTTTGCAGTTTATCTGATCTGTAGTGTTCAAATCAGAAAGGAAACAAAACTAGACATGCAGCTTGCTGACTAAGAAGCTTCCATGCTCAGGTTTTATTTTTTTAAAGAGGATGGCATATAAACAACAGAAAAAACCTTTTACTTGAAGGATCTCTGTTAGTTTCTTTATGCTACCTCATATTCTAGACCAAAGAGGCTGAGAAGTTTCTTTCCAAGGCTGCTGGTGGAAACATCAATTTTTTTGATTCTTCAGAATCATTAGCATTTGTTTTCTCTTGGATCAATGTCAGTTAGCTGTGTGCATACAGTTGCAGACAAACTTGTTAAATGTGGGCATTTTCACTCTTTTACTGCTCCCTAACTTTTTGTAATGTTTGAACTAATAAAAGTTTGCTGTTGTTTTCATTAAAGTTGTTTATACTTTGTTAATACTTTGCTCTATACAAGGCAAATATTTAGAACAGTACAGCAATAATTTGAAAAGTTGATAGGATCTCCTCCTTTTTCAGGTGAAAATACATGCTTCATCAACTGTGCCTGTGCTCTGGGTGTTTCAAAAGGTGAAAAAAATAGGGTAAAATATGTTCTCTGGATCTCCTCTGGTCACGATGACCCTGAGATGTATTAAAAGTCTCTTTTCCCCAACCCAGCTGTCGAAGAAGGAGTCAGAAGTCCTCGGCTGTCGTTCTCAAGATTGTTTATTATTTCTTATCTAAAACATTTTCTGTCTGGCCTGCCGAGGTCTGTTCAGCAGGTCAGTCTGAGGCACACTGTCCTCCCATGGGGCCAGTGTTGTCTTTTATACTCTAAACTTCATATTCGATATTTACAGTTATGTTCCAATACCTGTCACCTGTGTTAGACAGTGACTTTCTACTCTGCACCAGTCCCAGAGTGCCACCATCACCAAGAAGATGGAGGCTGGGAAGAAGAAGGAAGAAGAACAGGACAATGCCCAAATCCCTCCATCTTGCCTCCTAGACCCCTATAGTAAAACCCCCAAAATTTTTCTTTTCACCCTGTAAGTGTTATGCTATCCAAACTTTTGTGACCTTTAATTCTTCATACAAAGGTGGTAATTTGTTCCACGGGTCCAACTCCTAGCTGCAGGGGTCTCTGGCTGTATGCCAGGGTCTCTGACCCCCCTGTCAGGGGTTCAAAGCCCCCTGGCTGGGGCTTGGATCATCCAGGACCGTCAGAGAGACATCCTGGGCTCTGACACTTTATTATAAAAAGAGATTTTCTTTCTGTGGTTACAATCTGTGTGTAGAAAGCTCTTAAGATTTCGCTAATCTGTTTTCTTACACCGAGTAATGCTTAATCAGGAAACGGTTTGCATGCTATTAAAAACTTAAATAAAGGGTGTTTCCATCCCATCATGAAGTTGCATGAAAAACAAACAGAAGAACATTTCCTTATCCACTTAGAAAATGTATCCTTCCTTGTCATGTGGTAAAAATTAGACTGAGCAGCAAATCCTGAGCCTACAGATGAAACCATGTTTTGCTCTGGTAGTCTCAAACAAAATTGAGATGTGATTCTCTAAAACACTCTGTGTTTCAATGAATATACAGAGAAGTGAGTATCTTCTTGCAGTGAAGGATCACTTTTTCTGTGTGCTGCCTTTGAAACAGCTTCCTCATGCAGAAGCAGCCACGGGTGCTGCTGGAAAACATGCAGATGCGTGCTTGCTGTGTTGTGTGTTGCTGGGATTCCCAAAAATAAAAAAAAAGGAAGCTGTTTCATGCCAGACTAGCAGGATCAGAGTGTGACTGTTTCAGAGTTGTTTAATGTTTAAATGTATAGGTTCCTTTTTCCTTGTAAGGGGTGGGAATGGTGGCTATAAGGAGTGTCCCTGTCACCATGGGCTGTGTTCTGTCCCTGTGTTGCCCTTGTGCCTTGCAGGCCCAGGCAGTGACACCCTCTGTGCTGTTTTGTGCAGTCTCTGAAGCTGGGCAAGGTAAAGAATACCTTTTTGTTTTACAGGTTGCTGGTTAGCCTTGCCCAAGAAGGTGAGAGGAAAGAATAATTATTAAACAAAGCATATTGTAGTGCTTAGGGTGCAGTAAGCATCAGCTGAGATCCCATCTGGATGTGACAAACGTGCTTGGTGATAAACAGCTCTGTGAGTTTTGGCTCTTTTCTAGCCAGATTCACATTCATGGGCTTTTAAAAATTAAACCCCAAAAATTTACAATTTTTTAAATGTAAAATTTAATTTTTTAAATTAAATACTGGTTTCGGTTCCCCAGCACGTTACCTTTGAAGGTACTAAACTCACAGATTTTTCTAGAATAATATTATTTATTCTGATACATGCTATCCAATGCTGCAGAATTATTATTTGGAATAAATGCTAAGGATTGAAGCTTCATGTCACAACAGAAGGGTAGAGCAGCCTCAAGTTCCTGCTGCCTGATTGTGCGTAGCTGCTGCCAAGGCTGCGCTGGCCCTCTTGCCCATCCCTGTGGCTGATGCTGCTTTCCGGGCGGGCAGCTGGGGCCGGGGGGGCTATCGCGATAGGGCGGAGGGGCTGTCGCGACAGGGGCGGGGCCGGTGCCCGGGGCGGGGCTGTCGCGATAGGGGCGGGTCCTCCCGCCGCCGGGGGCGCCGCGCGGCGCGGGCTGAGGGCGGGAGGAGCGGCGGGCCCTGAGGGAGCGGCCGCGGCTTCGGCGGCTCCTCCTCTCCAGCCATGGGTGAGCGGGGCTGCGGGGCCGGGCTGGGCGGGGGCCGCGGGGCTGCGGGCGGGGAGCGTCCCCGGGGCAGCGGGCGGTGTGGGGCCGCAGTGCGGGCGGTGCCCCGGGTGCGGGAGGGCTGCGGCCGGGGACAGGCCGGCGCTGGCGCAGGGACGGCGCCCGCAGCCCCCGGGCCCAGCGGCTGTGCTCGGGGTCCGGCCGCGGAGCCGTGCCGCCTCTGGGGCCGAGGCTCGCCGCTCGGAGCCGGTGATGCCGGCGATGCTGTTCGGCGGTGTTAGCTGCGAGCAGCCCTGTGGGGGGCTGCTGCTTCTTCGGGGAGGAGAGCCCTGCAGAGCTTGTTCTGTGATACCCCATACCCGAACGGCAGCTGGGATTTAGGATTTCACGCGCGATGTTAAATTCTAAGTCTTGATTTTAAATTAAAAAAAAAAAAATTTGTTCGCCATTTATATTTTTAAGAAGCGGGTGAAGAAAAACATGCAGGTAGATCACGCTTCAAAACAGACCTAAGATGCATTTCGCTTCAGAAAGAACAGGCGAGGGCTGGTAATTAAAAGGACAGCAGACATAGAAGTCTGTCGGAGGAGGATCAGCTCCAGAAGTCAGAATGAGGTCACCTGACAAAGGAATTTTCATGATGCCTTTGGGGAAATAGACAGGATATGTAGCAAGGGAGAGCTACCCACCTGCAGTCTGCATTGAGCAAGGCGTTTCCTCCTCTAACACTTGTATTTCATACTGTCAGTAGCAAAGCTAACAGAGAAGCAGGATGTGTGCTCTGCCTGCAGAAAGGCTGCTGCTGTTGCCAGCCTCCACCTGTGCCGGCGATGCTGTGCTGGTGCTGCTCCTGGTAGAGCTGGTCAGTCCCCAGCAGCTGAGCAGGACGGAACAGACAAAGCAGTGAGCTGTGCCTGCTGACTGGGTACAGTTTTGCCAGATCCCTATCTCTCATTTTCTTATTGTTTCTAATGTCTCCTGGGGTTTTCTGTTGAAGTTCTGGGCACCTATAAAAGCAGATTTTAAGGCTGTTTCATGTACATAATCTCATAAACCCTTATTTTTCCTAGAAAGCAGAGATAGGTTATGTTTCAGGGTAGCTGGGTATTTGGCAGGCAACTAGGGAAACAGAATATTAGAAAGTAGTTTTCAGGGTTTCTAATATCCAATCCCTAAATACCTGAAGTCTGCAGGAAGTGAGATAAGTCATTTCATTGCTGTTGAGGAACTGAGAAAATGCCCATCTGTTATGATGATTTGGGTTCTTTGTGTTTTCTGACGTGCAGACAGATACAGTCTATATCAGATACCAGTACTCACATTTGCAAAGGAGCAGGCTCACTTTTTTTACTCAGTTGCAAGTTTTTCTAGATATTTTGACATCTGTGTCTCAATGTCTTTAAAAAAGTTTGGTTTTTTACTTCGCTTGTTGGATTTAATTAAGCAGTAAATCATCAACTCTTTTGTTTTTTTCCAGGTTACTTTGATGATAATGAATAAACAGAGGCTTGTTTTGTCTCTGAGAAAATAGGCTCTGGTCTGAATGTTTGAATTGCTTCATTATAAATGAAAATAAGCTTAAGAATTTCCTGAGCACTCTGTTCTCAGTAGCAGGATTTCTAAGAAGAGGAACCTTGTCCATTCTTTCAGACTAAGATGATTGTAAAAAGCTATGGATTTTTTACTGATGAGATTTAATCCTCAAATGTATTTTTGCAGTATATACTTTGTAATGTTTATCAAAAGCTTCAAGTTAAAGCAAAACCTTTAATTCTTAAGATTTTCTGTTTAGAAAATACTTTGTGGCTAAGTGAGAAACGGAATTTTCAGTGTGTAGTATTTTCCAGAAAATGCTCCTGGTTTAGTGGCAGAGACTCTGAACAGCCTGAGAAGGAAGGCATGTGTTTGTGTCACTGAGCAATTAAAGTTACAGTGGAAAGTGATTATATATAAAAAGTATGATGTCTGCTTCTGTAGGTAGGCTGTAACACACCAAATAAATCCATAAATGAGTAGGAAGGCTGCTTTGAAACCATGGCAGGGGCAGTGGTTGCAGCCCTGCAGCAGAGGTGCTGTGTTAACTGCAGTGGCTTGGCTGCTTCTGAGACCTGCTGGGACAATATGGTGCCTAAGAACTGACATTCCCAGCCTGGGGTTTTATTCTGTTACCTGTTGAAACACTGAGAACGTGCTCTGGATTGGATGCTTCTATGGCATGGTGGTTTATAGCACCTACTGAGTTTGTTCTGCTGAGTTTATTAGGTTTATTAGGTCAAGGTAAGTTTTCCTTTTAACAAGATGGACATGAAGCACTTTATTTCTTTGTGTCACTCTTAAAACTTGAACCATAACATTTTTTTCTCTGTTGTCTTAGCTGTAAAGGATCCTACAGCTGTAGAAAGAGCAAATTTATTAAACATGGCTAAACTGAGTATCAAAGGACTCATTGAATCAGCCTTGAGCTTTGGGCGCACTCTGGATTCTGACTACCCACCTTTGCAGCAGTTCTTTGTTGTCATGGAGCACTGCCTGAAGCATGGCCTGAAAGGTGTGGAAATTGGTCTAGCTGCGTATTTCTCATCCCAAACATGCCATTTTTCTTCCTTTCTTTCTGGAAGCGGATAAAAAATGTGTAACATTGCATAAAGAATTGAAAAAAATATGTAAATGGGCACCTTTTATAATGAATAGTGTAATTATATATTTCCACATTTACCAACTTGTCCTTTTGTACAGCATTTGTTGTAAGAGGTCCAGGGTTTACCAACTGCATGTATGTAGTGTATATTTTTAGCTGGACATCCTTTCTATGTTATTTTTCCTAGCATATCAATTTTATATTGACAGTAAAGGAAGTTGGCTTTGGGTACTGGTGAGCTGTCCAGAGTCTCAGTTAAGAGTTATCTGGAACTCTGGACTCAACAGTTAACCCTTTCACACTCCAGATATTATGAAGGAAGCTACTGCAGTGATTTAAATTAATTCAGTTACTTGATTTTTCTTTTCATAGTAAGAAAATCCTTTCTCAGTTACAATAAAACCATCTGGGGTCCTTTGGAACTTGTGGAAAAATTATATCCAGAAGCTGAGGAAATAGCAGCAAGTGTCAGAGATTTGCCTGGCCTTAAGTAAGTAGTACTGTTAAAGTGCAGCAGGAAAAGAAAAGACCTGATTGAGAATCTGCAGGTGTCTCATGATTTCATTTGACATTAATCGAGCCTTTGAACAGCTAGCACCTGATGTTGGGGGAGTGCACAGGTGAACGGGAGGTGGATAACAATGCAAAAAGGAGCAGGTTGTGTCAGTCACTCTGCAGTCTAGAACTGCAGCAAACATTGGTGAGTGCAGTCAGCAAAGGCTGTATCAAACCACAAGGTGACGTACCAAAGAGGAAAGAATTAGGCAGGTTTTGAGATTCTTGCCTGCACAGTCCTGCTCAGTTGTAAATTTATTCTCTTCCCATTCCAGTGCACTCTGCTTTTGTATTTAGCTTTATACTTGGCCATCCATGAAATTCCAGAAGGGCTTGGTTGCACTGACTGCTGTATGGCAGCACAAGGGTTCTAATTTATAGCTTTAGACCTTATCTAAAGCACATAGGCATGTAAATTATTATTTACTCTTGTGGCAGTCCAGAGGAAGTAATAACCTTTGCCAGGTGTGTTACTCTCTTCCTATCCTAACACAACTTGTGAGGGGGTTTTCTTTTTCATTGATGTGCTTACCATTTGTAAGTATGCAAGCACTAGAAGAGGAAGGTGCAATTTGCTGGATATTAGTGTTTGCCAGTTACATAGGTAATTTTTCATCTTTTTTTAGCATTGTCTTCCTAAGATAGCACTGAAGTTGTACACAACTAAAGGCAGAGACAGAGTAGGATTGGGAAGGGAAGCTGCCGTGGTGGCTTGTGCTGGGAATTTGGTTCATTTTCTTGCAATACCGCTCAACTCCTAACAACCAAATTGCAGAAAGGAGTCTCTACTGTTGCAAGCATTTTACTTCAGCACAAAACAAGACTTTCAAGATTATCAGGCTCTAGTGCAGTCTATACTCTTGTTTATCCTGGGTCTGCTCCCGAGCTCAGCCAAGTAGTTGAAAATCTTTCTGTTATCCTGAAGCTTGGAGTCAGAGCTTAAACATTATGGCTTTCCACATGGTGATGATGCTCAACTAATAGTTTAAAGTACCCCTTCAGAAACACCAGTTGCTCCACCAGTAGACTGATAAGGTGTTAAAGAGCATGATTTAATTGGTATGTTGTTAATTTGGGGCTGTTTGTCCTCATGACCTTTGTTTCAGGACGCCACTGGGCCGTGCCCGGGCCTGGCTGCGGTTGGCGCTGATGCAGAAGAAAATGGCCGATTATCTTCGCTGTTTAATCATTCAGAGAGACCTCCTCAGGTAAACAATTCACTGGATTTTGTTTGCAACCTATTTTCAGAGAATTAGTCTCCTAAAAATAATCCTGCATTCCCCCACTGTGCACTGGGGAGGAGGTGACTCAATTCCTACCATGTGTGTGGTTTCCACTGAGCTGCCATTGGAAGGAGGGCTCTTGCTTTGAGCTTTGCTTTCACAGTTCTAACACTGGCATTGTTCTCTTCTGGTATAACTTCTCCTGTCTGATGGAGTCATTAAAGCACAATGGAGGATGCTTCTTCCTTTCAGGTTTATAAACTATACATATTTTTAAGACTGACTTTGTGCCTAGATAACACTGGTATGTCAGGATGTCATTGGTGTTCAGCAGCTATGGACTTTTCCAGTGAAAAGACAGTTTGTTACATAGAATCTAAAATTTTATTTAAAAAGTACAAGGAGAGAAAGTGCTTGTATTCTCTTGTTCAGTGAAGTATTTATATTTGTAGTGGTTTTGGTGCAAAACTATGACAATATTTTAAAAACCTTTTTAGCTTTTCAGCCCTTCAAGTTTCTCTTTTATCAATTTAATCTCTTCCTTGGGTCCTTGAATTTCAAGCTTGTATGCACTAAATTCCAGGTTTTTTGGTTTTTTTTTTTTTTTTTTTTCACAAAAGATAATTCTTTGGCCATTCTTCCTTTGCATTGCTTGTAGTGCTTCTTAACAACTTAAGAGTTGTCTGACTCAGTGTGGCCAAACATCCATTTGTTGCAATATCCTCTTCAACACTGGCTAATAGAAGGTGTAGGGAAGAGCCTGTTCTGTTTGTTTGGTTTTTTTTGTTGTTGTTGTTGTTGTTGTTTTTTTTTTGTTTTGTTTTCTTTAAAAGTCAAAGTACGTCTTGTTACCCTCCCCACAGTGTCCCAGCCATCTGGAGCCTAAGGCAGCATCCTTGTTTTTAATAGCCTCTGAGACTAACCATGCACTTTGAATTTTTAAATATTTATGGGGTGAAAGTATGGGCAGGGCCAGTTTATCTTTCCAGATGCTGTAGTAAGGCTACAATAAGACAAAATTTGGATGTGTATGTCACTTCTGATTAATTTATTGGATGTGTATAGAATGAATGTACCAGTGAGATGCAATTTCTCCTTCACACAGTGAGTTTTATGAGTATCATGCACTCATGATGGAGGAGGAAGGAGCAGTGATTGTTGGACTGTTAGTTGGGCTGAATGTGATCGATGCCAACCTGTGTGTGAAGGGAGAAGACCTGGATTCACAAGTAAGTCCATCCAGGTAAAGGAATGTACATGCAATCCATGAGAGTTTTCTGTACTTTTGTTTGTGGATTTTGTTACTTTGGAGTGGTGGCTTGTTAGAAATCCTACCTGAGACTGTTCAGGGTGTGATGATCCAGCTCCTGGGTCTGTGGGGCTGTTGCCTTAACCTCACTATCAGCGGGGTCAGACCTTTGAATGGAGATAATGGTCAGAGTGCAAGGGTGAAATTTTGTGCTTTGTCCTCAAATGGAGTTCTTTTCATCTGACTTGTGTGACCCATCCTTTTCTTCTGTGGGACAAGTATAGTTCCATGATCAGTTTACCCTGCTTGGTTTGTTTATTGCTGTTCTGGAACATCATAGGAGTGATACAGAGACCTGAAATAAACACTCCCTTATGACCTCTTAAGAGGGTGACTACTTTGATTCTGCAAAGCAAGACCTGGAATTCTTCCTGCTTTGAATGGGCTTTGACTTTTAACCCTGATCTTTTCCAATAAAATATTAACAGATTCTGTTTAAGGGAAGATGCACAGGTATTTGTAAATAAATGTAGACTGTGTTCAGCCCTGATTGGTTTTTTTCAGCTTCTTTGTGGAAAGAAATCATAGTAGCTTAAGTGGTTGTTATTATATTCATATATTTGATGAAAAAATAGCTCATCTGGGAAAGAGAAGTTACAGCTGTGTGCTTTTGAATCCTGTGGTTAACTTGTTGTTTGTTCTAGTTACTGTGTAATATTAGTTTCAGGCACTAATCTTGTGTAAAAGAAGATATAACATTGACAGGCCTGTCAGTGAAAAACTTATCAACTTGCTCTTAGTGTTGAGAATTAAATATGTGTATTATAGGCCACAAAATCTGTTGCTAGCTACAGCTCTGTTATCACTGGGTGGCCTTACTGCATGAGAGAGAACTCAATTTGAGAAGGTGGTAGTGGCTGTGCAGATGAGATTCTGATTGCAGTGTGTCCCAATTTGGCATTTGTAACATGTCCAGAATAATTCTGTTTATGAAGAGTAGTATAAAGAAGGCACCTTTTCAGAGAAGCCAGAAGCAGCAAGTTTTATTAAGCAGAAAGACAAACTTCTGAACCTTTAGGGAAGCCACAGCCAGGAGCATGGTTTTGGTATGTTGACAAAATGCTACTCAGTGATGAAATGTGTTTATGCAGCAGTAGTGAATTGAAATAAAGTAACTTTTATAGATAGAGCATTTTACCTTCTTTATTAGAGATGGTATTTTGCTTTAATCAGAAAAACATGTTTTTAGAAAGTTTTTTGAGAAGAGAATTTTGAAAAAAGACATGGAAAGAGCAAATAGGATCCTGAGAGGAGAGCATTGTATAAACCAAGTAAATATTAAACTTAGTAAAATCTTGTTTAAAGTGTTATAGTTCAGATTTTTCAGCTTCTGGCTGAAACTGGATGAACCTTAAAAATGCTGTAACTGAGGTTTTATCAATTGCATAAATACAAGGCTGTAAATATCAGCAGCACTTATTTGTATGAGATGAAATTGTACCTTTGCTCTCCCCTAGGTTGGGGTGATCGATTTCTCTGTGTATTTGAAGAGTGATGATGACATTGGGGGTAAAGAAAGGTATGTCCTCACAAAATACCTCCACTATTCTCTGTTAACAGATGGTTTCTTGGCTGGGACCTAAGTGAGGGTCTCTAAAAATGAAATGTTCTCATCCTGAGAAGAATGCCCCAGTGTGTTGTTCTGTGTTATTAGTTAGCTGCGGGAATATTTGCAGTCTGAAGCAAACCTCAGCAGCATCACCTCCTGCCTCCAAGTAGGGGAGGCTTGTGAAGAGGAGCCTGCACACCTTTAAGACCTTGGGATTTAGAGTTTCAAAGAGCCAGTTATGGCAGAATAAATAAACATCCTTATCCTTCTCAGACTGTTATGTTACATGTAGAGAAATTGTTTGCAGTAAAAACATTGGATTTTTGTGTCTCACTGATACAACATGTGTGTTTTTACCTTCAGGAGTATGAGATGAAGTTGTTTCCTTTCTTTTTAAAAACACAGTTGAGATGGACATTTGCATATGGTAAACATGTATATTTTCAGTTCATGGTTTAGTACATAATTTTCTTAATTTTATTTTGTGCTTGCTTTAGAGATGTACAGATTGCTGCAATATTGGACCAAAAGAATTATGTTGAGGAACTAAACAGGCAACTGAAGTAAGTATTACTTTGAAGTATGGGTGTCAGGCCAGGCTTACAGGTAAGTGCCTTTTGTACCACAGCTTTGTGAGAGAACTTTAGAGAAAAAACTGCAAATTCTCCATGTTTAGACTGAAGATTTAGTGAAGTAGGAAAAGACACTCTCCTGGAGAGCTCAATGTCAGTTTTCATGCTTTTGGACAGTTATTCTTCAAAGAAATACAAAACCAACAGGCCAGAGCACTGAAGGTCCTCATGGTTCATAAATTCACTAGAATGAAAAGCTTAGTCAGGATTCTAACTTTGTTCCATTTAACAGTTTGCCAGAAGTGGTTTTGAGTGTTCTGGTGAATCCATATGTTTTTATTTCTTTGCCTTGCAGAATATTTTAGTTTGTGGCTTTAATGGCTAGTAATGAAACGAAATAAACTCACTGCTTGCTAGAAGCTACTTATATGTGGTAGATTGAGGTTCCCATTGAAATAATTTTCAGGAAAGCAGCATTTTCCGCTTTGCTGGATGGAACAAATCTAGTCCACCACTGTGTTTGTTACTGTGCAAACAGAAGAACAGATTTAAATTCTCTGAAGACTATTGTACAAAAGTAAAGTTTGAAGGGCTAAAAAGCTAAAAAACCCCAACAAACCAAACCAAACAACAAAGCCAGAAAGAGCTTCTGTAGAATCTGTAGAACAGCTATCTAGCTCCTTTTTGAAATGTAATCATCTTTTTAAATTTTTAATGCTGGTAATCTGGATCATTGGTTACTCTAAAGCTCCTGTTGGAGTAAGGATATTCTGCTTTGGAATGGTGTCACTGAGCAGAAACCTTCAACAGTGCAGAAAAGCTGAGCACATCAAATATGAGCAAAATGAAAGTCAAGGAGGAGAAAGGAACAATCACACTTAAGGGCAGTGGTGTTTGTGCCATGTCATTATCCAGGTGAGCTTCTGTGTGTTCTTGTACTCTGGTTTATGCACAGAATTTCCTGTCAGATCAGTGATTCAGCAACTCTCCTATTTTATTTCAGTTCAGCTGTTTGTGTTTAGACATCTAAAATGCATTAATCTCTCTGCCCTGCTGTTACTGATGAACTGGCAACTTCTGAGGACACCACAGAGAAACATGTGGAAAAGTAAATGGTGTTAGAATAGGTTTTAGAAAGTTAGAATAGGTTTTCTGTTTCCCTGTGTGTGAAGTGCAGCCTGAAAAAAGGTGCTTCCTGCAGAAACAGGCAATCAGGTTATGGAAAAGGCCTGGATGTAGTTTGATACTATAAAAAGCAACAGAGTAATAAAAGGCAATACAACTCTGGTGAGACTCCTAAATGAAGTCAAGAAACATCAAGAAAGAGATAGTGTGAGGACAAATCTCAAAAAATGCAGAGAAACAAATGGCTTTATAAAAGAAATGTATTTTGGACAAAGAGAATCTGGAGAATCGTTTTGTTCTATAGGGAGAGCTCATTTATCTTTTGGATGCAGTATGGTTGTGAGGCTAAAGGAAAGGGAGAGTGCATGGGAAGTTCTGGTCAAGCAAGAGTTTAAGTGACAGGGGTGACATTGGGAATTGGAAAGAAGCATATAAATGTTCAACAAAGGAGAGTCATTTTCATATATTTAGGAAAGCTTCCAATAATGGGAACCGACCTCACAGCTCTTAACCATTAATCACTGTACCTTGCATTTAAGATTTGAGCTTGGTTGAAGGAATTTTGATGTAATCTTGAATACCATTGTTTCTTTTTCCCTTTCAGTAGCACAGTTAGCAGTCTACATGCAAGAGTTGACTCACTGGAGAAATCAAACACAAAGCTGATTGAAGAGGTACTTTTTATTTTAGTAATGTGTAGCATATTGTTTTCTCTGAAAGACTGTTTTTCTAAATACACTCACATTATTTTAAGCTATGGGAGCTCAGTATAATATATTCAGATACCTTTATTTTGGCTTAAAGCAGAGGGGCAGCAGCTGCAGGGACTTGAAGTCTGCTTGCCAGGTAGCCTCTAGCATCAGTACGTCAATTCTGTAGAACACTGCAATTTCCAACTTTGGGCAAAATTAGGAGAGAATCCTTTCTCAGTGCCAGCTGTCAGTCTGATTTGTGCAGATGACTAGTCTAGAATGGATGACACCAGTTGCTACAAAGAGACAAAAAGTAGTTCACCAAGCAATTTCTGTTCCAGTTCTCAGCTTTAGCCAAAGGATTGTTTCTTGCTTCTTTACTGGATGCTTATACACTTGTCTGGTTCTGGGTTTGTGTTTATAGCCTGTATTTCTGGTTATCTTTGATGCTTGACTAGTTTTCAATATCTTTAGCTTTATCAGAGAGAGTGCACCTTTTTTAGTTAATGAAGGGGAAAACTGTAAATTCAGCTGCTGAAGGGACAGCTAGCTCACTCTGGGAGTAATGTATCCAGACAGAGTGAGAGCATCTTTTCTGGGTGTTAATTCTCAGAGTATTGTGGTTCCTTTATAAGCTTTCAGCCCAACTCTACACCTATTTTGGTACTTTGGTTTATAATTCTGACATTAAGAATTATAAACCAATATAATTGGTATATTATATACCAATTATATACTGTATACTGTAGGGCCCGGTTATGAAATGTCATCTTTTGTAAATATGTTTGTTGTTCATATGGGGGAGGCTTTCTTATGTAAGCTGCTCCATATGACATATTAATATGCCCAATAAAGAAAATGACAACTGGATGAACTTGAAGCCAAGTGGAAAGCAGTAGCTGGGGACGAGGAAAGAGAATTGAGGGTCTTTAAGATATAATGGAGCAATGAAAAGAAAGCATGTTCTTCACCAGACGTGAAACAGTGAAGTATCCTGAACACACTGCTGCTGTGTAATGACTCATTATTAAAACCAGGAGCTTTATGGTTTCTTTAAAAACAGTTAATCCTCTGTTTGGCAGGCAGGGAGAATAGAGCAGAGAATATCTTGGTCTTGCATTAATCAGAACATTTTTCCCTTTATTTCTACTCTCAGAAGTGGTCACAGTGCTTTTCTTTTTTTTTTTTAAATTTGTTTCTTTTCAGTTAGCAATAGCAAAAAACAATATAATTAAACTTCAGGAAGAAAATCATCAATTAAGGAGTGAAAATACTCTGATTTTAATGAAAACACAGCATCATCTAGAGGTATGTTAGTTTTACCACTTTTAATATTGTAACAAAATGTGGTTATTTTTTGTTCAAAAGTTTGTACATCTCAGCTTCAAGTAAGCTTAACTTGTCCAAATCTGAAACAACTTTTATGAGTGAAAGAGCTTATTAAATCTGTGGAGCTTTCTAAATGGCATAAGTAAATTAAAATTCTAGGACACAAGATTGTTTTACAACCATATGTATTTGTAGAGTATTCAAGTGACACCAAAGGAGGACAGTACTGAAGTATAGATGTTTTGCTGGTTTTACTCTGTTCTCATTATTAAGCCAATGGCCACAGACCAGAAACAGCTCTTTCCATGTTTGTCCTGTGCTTGGGGGATGTGTTTGTAAGTTTTTCTTCATATTCCCCACAAGCATTGAGTTGTGGCAGCGCATGTGGCAGATGAGGCGGACACAATACACAGAGCATTACCATACACTTCCAGAAGGCTGCAAGTGTCTGCCCTTCTTGTTCTTTAGCCCAACCTTTAACACCCCTCATGTTCATGCATTGCACCTGTGTGCCCTCTGTTCCCTTTCCTGGCTGGTCAGCACACCTGGGCACTCCATGGCTCATTGCTGTCCGTGCTGCTCACCCGCTTTTCACAGCTGTACCCACTGGGATGAGGCTCGGCCCCAGCCCCACTCCCAGTTACCACCAACTGTATGCCTACATTAAATTCATGCCATCAAGCTGCAGAACTTATGAAGAGGGAAGAGAGAACCTCTGTATGTTTGCAGGCAGCCAAGGTGGATGTGGAGGCAGAGCTGCAGACCTACAAGCACTCGAGGCAGGGCTTGGATGAGATGTACACCGAGGCGCGCAGGCAGCTCCGCGAGGAGGCACAGCTGCGGCAGGTGGGTGCTCCTGGCACTGCCCTCTGCACAGCACTCACTGTCTGAGCACTTCTACTTCTCTTGGCTTTAGCTGCTGCCTTTCCTTTGTATCAGCAGCCTTTTCTCTAACTGCCTGTAATAAAAAGAGTTTTCACAGAGCATCAATATTTCTGTAGTAATGTTGCTGAAGAACGGTAGAAAAGCAACCACATTTTTCTTGGATAAATTTTTAGGTAAGCTTAGCAATACTGTGTGCTCTCTATCTGTGCTAAATCTTTCCTGTGAAAATACAAATACATTGGTTCTATTTTTGTAATTAATACTTAGGCAATTCTGTACAACATTGGCAGGGTAATCTCTTGTCATGTGAGTTGTTTTCTCCCAAAGTTATTGTATGAGTGTCACATTTATGGATAATTTGCAAAGGTAAAGAGGGGCAGAATTTCTGAAGTGGTAAAATGGGTGGTGCTGCAGCTCTGTTAGAGTTTCAAAACAGAAATAAATAATTCCATAGTTATCTAAATCCTTTATGTTGCACTGTGTTGTGTTTTCTAGGATATGGAGAATGAGCTAGTGGTTCAAGTTAGCATGAAGCATGAGATAGAGCTTGCCATGAAGCTGCTGGAGAAGGATATCCATGAGAAGCAGGACACCCTCATCGGCCTGCGGCAGCAGCTTGATGAAGTTAAAGCAATTAATGTGGAAATGTACCAAAAGCTGCAGGTAAAGGGACAATCTGCTGCTAAACTGCTGAATGGATCACAGACAGAGAAATGCAGTATTACCATTCTGGTCAGTTGGATGCTGCTGCTCCCTGGAGTTTTGGTTTCCTTGTGCTTCTTAGGTCAGCTTGACATTTTGGAGCATTACCTATGTAAACATGGTTTCATACAAAGAAGCTTTTAAGGCAGTCACTTACTAGGTTTAGGGAAGAAAAGAGCATGAGGATCATGGCCTAATAATATCCTTGGTGAAATAGAGAGTAATAGTGTCCTGTAACAAGGACATTTTTTTTCGCCTGTGTTGTATAAAAAAACCAGAAGAATGTAGGCACGTAGTGAGGAGAAGCCCTGACCTTCCAAAGCAGGGAAAGGAAGACAAGGATATGTTAAATGAAAAAAGCTAATTGCAGTTTTGGGTTGATTTTAAAATCTGTTAACAAATTAAGAAAATCTCTTAACAATGAAATGCCTTTTGTGGGAGCATATGGATCTCAGGGACCCCAAATGCAGTTAACAAATTACCATATACCAGTGAATTACTTATGCAAAACATGACTTTGACTTAGGGAATAAATTATGAAAACTAGCACAAGAAACCAGTCAAATCTGTGGCAGAATGAGGGGAAAAAAATTAGGATGCTGTGGAGAGATAATTGAAGTGATTGACAGAGGGTTCTACTTTTCCCCTCTGCAAATGTGAGGAAACTGGACCAGAGGATGAGAAATATAAATAGAGCTGGAGAGAAAAATAAGAGAATGTTCTCCAGTGTTAGGATCTGGGGGGAGTTGATTTGCAGGAGAATCTTGGTGTTTTTCTGGACTAAGCTCTTTGCTCTTCACTGGTAAGGTTCTAATGGGCTACTTGGTCAGTGAATTTAACTTTGACTTCTACAGTGATTAACTAAAGAAGGAAATCAAAGGGGAATACTTATTGAATATTAAATAACATCTACCCTTGCAGAGTATAAAACTAAAAATTTTCTGGGCATAAGATTTTACATACTGTCCTCAAGGGTTTTTGGAAGGCAATCCTTAAAGAGAATCAAAACTTGATTTTTACCATGTGCCCCTTTAGATACTGAAAAAAAAGCCCCCACAAGGTAGTGGTGCAATTATACCAATTTCAGTTTTAACCTCTTTTGTAACACAGGTTTCTGAAGATGCTATGAAAGAAAAGAATGAAATAATTAGTCGATTAGAGGATAAGACGAATCAAATTAATGCAACTATGAAACAACTAGAACAAAGGTACAGCCCCATCTTTGTTTCTCTTTATTCACAACTCCACTCCCTTACATCTTACTGCATTCTCACAGTTGCCACTGAAATGTAATTTTCAACTAGAACATTTAAACCAAACCTTCCTGATACTTCTAATTAGTGCTTTGCTGTTGGACTGGTTTTTTTTTTTTTTTTTCTGTTTGACAAACACACTCACTTTAAATACAAACTTAATATTTCAGTTTTCTTCCTCTACCATCCTTCTTCTGGTCCTAGGTTTTTATGCTGATATCAAAAGTCATTCTTTCAGTTGTTTTAAAATTCTGATTCCTTATTGCCAACTTTTTTCCCCCCCTGAATGAAATGCAATAGAAACGGAGGCATTAACCTTGCTTATACTTAAGCATATGCTTAATATAAACATTAACCTTGCTTATACTTAAGCATATGCTTAATGTAAACATTAATGCCTTCAAGGATCACTGGTTGTTTGCTGAAGCTGTTATAATTGTTGTCCATTGCTTTGGAAGTGCCATTATTTTCAATGACTTAATGAGTTTTCACACTGAAAGGTTGAAAAGTGAAAGACTAAAATTCCAGAATGTAAATTTACATTATGGTTAGACTGCATGTACTGCATAATACTAAGATGTGATTCACGTGTTTTGATTCAGTAACCTTATATGCAACATTGATCTTGATCTTTCTAATTGTAAAATATAACATATCCATGAGCCCTGTCATGTTGGTGTTTGACATGTCTTTTTTTTCATTTAAATCTGATTATGAAAAACATGCTTATGTATTAAAAAAAATTAGTGACATGAATATTCTTTTATTGACATCCTTTTTTCCTCTTTTTTCTTTTTCTTTTTATCCTTTTATCCCAATTTTTGTTTTTACTGTTTTGCTGCCTTCATCTGTCTTTGATTTTTGTCCACTGCATTCATGAAGTGACAAAGATCTGTTAACTCAAACTAGGACTATTGCAATGTCATTCGTCAAATGTGCCAGCAATGAGGCTCAGCACCAATATAAACTTGTCAAGGATATATCATTCTGACAGCTCCTTCAGATCTCTTGTGTTGAATAATTGCTGATGAAATAGGACTTCAGAATTTTCCAATTCAAACTTGAAAGTGGTATTAGAAATCCTGCACTGTAACTGATCGTAGCTGGGTCCTGGTTTGTTTTCTGAAAAAATATCACCACCAATCTCACTTTACCCCTCCTAAAAAAAAAAACCCAAAAAAACAAAAGAAAAAAAAAAGTAAATTACTGCACTATTATTAAGCAAATGCAAGCTAGTTTTCTAATGCTATTGAATCACTTCTTTGTCAAATTTTATTTTAAGAGGTTAGATATCTTTACTTTGACTGCACAGTTTTTATGACACTTGTTTCTAATTAGTGATTTTTCTGGTTCTTTGGTACTAAGAGATTTAAAAAGTAGCCCTTCTGGCTAAAACTTCCCTTCTCCCCTGCTTATTCCTTTCACTTTTAGGCTGTGTGTTGGGTTCTGTGGTTGTAACTAGCAGTGTTTCCTTGAGCAGAGTGGCAGGAGCTGGAGGGAGGGAGCTGAGCTCCCTCGGAAGGATGGGTGTAAGAAAAGAGGGTGGTGCCACCATCTGTGTTGTGTGTGTGCAGTGAAGGGATGCCAACAGCTAAAGTTCCACCTCCCTGATGTCCTGAGGTGAAACATTCTCATGAAGTGAAAAAGTCTTTGGAGCCTGCTTCCTGAGGGGCTCCAGACAGAGACAGAGTGCTCCAGTAAATTGTGTAGCTGTGACTCCTGCCTAGCACCTGGAGGTGGAGCAGTGAGAAGGATTTACAGTTAGGGCCCAGGTCCTGAACCTGCCTAACCCGTTTGTCAGCTGAGGATCTCACCTGGCTCTGTCTGCACTGAGAACAACACCTGTGCTTGTGCCCAAAGCCTTTTCCCTCCCTCCACCCATCATTAGGCAGCTCTTGCAGCTCCTGTTCCTGCTGTGAGCTGCTGCTTGCCTGCACTGCAGGAAGAGTTCAGGCTGCTGACTGCCCTCAATACACTCCCTGATGTTTGCTCTGAAGTCTGCAGTGGATGTTGACTGGGAAAATTATCATAGAGTTTTGCAGCACAAGAGGATGTGTTTGTCAAAGTGGGGACAGGATGCAGTAATACAGAAAGGGTTTCTACTGCGTGGTTATGTACTAGCTTATTCCTTGGTTTGGAGACAGAAACAGCCTTTAACATGAGGTGGCTACTGAAAAATAACTGTCTTCCATCTTCAAAGAAAACCCAAACCAGAAACACTGAATGAACAACAGGAAGACCATGGGAGAAATGGGAGCCTTTTCCACCTCAATGTTATCTACACAAACAAGTGTGTGCCACAGAATCATCTGCATGCCAAATCCAGCTGCAGGCTGCAGCCAGCTCAGCATCTGCCTGAATCTCAGCAGTGCAGCTGGCCCTGGTGCCGGGCTGGAGATGATGCTGCAGCTTTTGGGTAGCAAGTTCTCTTTCTGCCTTGCTTGTGGAAACAGCTCTGCAGTTGATTTTGTGATTTAGGGAAGGGTTTAACGTGCTTTTGGTGTTGGTGTCTTGTGTAGCTTCAGTCAGCTTCTGCACTGTGGAGGGACCTGCTCTTTCCTAATATTCTCCTTCCCAAGGCTTGGCCTCTGTGCACTACCATTGCAGATGTGACTGGGAGCATTCTTCAGGCCCTGGGGTAGTTGAGTGAGATAGTGCACCCTTGATAAGGTGATTTAATTCCAGCCTTGTTCACTTGTTTACCATCAGCTTTTGGAAACTCCCTCTGGTGCAACTTCATCAGCAGAAGCACAAATGCAGACATATTGCTGACACATCTTCTTTTTAGCTGACACTGGGAGCTGGGAGTCACTCTGTGCTCAGGGAGCTGCTGGGAGGTGACAAGTCAACCATCTCACTGATTTCTCACGCCACTTACCTGAGAGGCCCTTGGGGCAGTTTTGCAGAACACAGAGAATCAGGTGGGGACATTCACTGAGATTTTTCAGGCTCCTGTATGCTCCAGGCAGGTGTAACCATGATATAGCACAAGTCCCCTTTTAGTACATTTACTTTTGTTACAATACAACCACCAGAGAGGAACCACAGTGAACCAGTGCATTCCAAGGGGAATGTCAGCTGAACAAACCTGGGATTCAGAAAGAAAAGATTAAATCAAATAACAATCCCTCATTTCTTGATTAATCATTTTGATTTGTCTATAGTATGGAGCTATTTTCACCGGTGTAAGAATGCATTATTTTTAATACAGACTATTTAAATTAAAGATGATGTAGTTGAGGTACTTCTATAAATGTAGTGGGACCTGTCAGGGTGTATTTTGTTGTATTAGGCTAGTCAGGTTTTTTTGCTGTCTGATTGCAGTGCCCTGTATGCAACCTTATGCCTCAGTTGTTTTGAGCTGCTTTTGCACAGCACATGCTCTGCCCTGTCTTAATGGGTGATTAGTGCAAGCCAAGTACTTTCACAGAATTTACTTGGGGGACAAAGCTTCGGAAATAACACATGAACGTATGCTAAAAGAAAAGCTTTGATTCCAAAATATGTATCATGCTTTGGCACCTGTTATTCATGAGCATAAAATAAAACAATTATTACTTACAGTGATTACTCTCTTACTGTATGCAAACCCAGGAGCTAAGTTCTCTAGGCATTGTATGGGTTTCTCGTTTGAGTTTGTGAGTTTCCCCCAAACTTTGTTTTTATTTAGAAATGTTTCTATTTCCCCATTTTTCTTTTATTTGTCTTCTTCACCCTCTACACCCTAGTTCTAGCTTCAGTTTTACCCAAAGTTGATTTGAATTACACCAGATTGCAGCAAGCAGAGAAGGCTCAAATGGAGGCAGAGGCTGAGGATGAGAAACTTAAGCAGGAATATGTGAATAAATCTGAAAGCCTGCAGAACGAATTCTCCCAGAAGGAGAAACAGCTGTGAGTATTTCTTTTCTGTTTGGAAAAATGCATGGCAGTAAACATTCTACATTTGCAATATGTCCTCTGCCCTAATGCAGGCTGCTTGTTGTTAAATGGTTTTGAACAGAATGCAAATACTGAAGATCTTTGTGTCAGGTACTGGCAAGGCAGAAGAAAATATGTCATTGCAAGGAAGCCAAGCTGGCTTTGGGTGCTTATGAAATGACATACAGCTTGAAAGGAAGGGGGGAAACAGCATTATTTCTTGGCTAAAAATGCCAACTTAATTCAGGAGGAAGTTATCCTAAGTGGGGGAAAATATGTAGTGGAGTAGTGGTAAAACACACTTTGAACAAAGCCCACAAGTATGGAATAGTGTAGACTTAAACAGAAATGGCACAGTAATTGTTTGATTGATGCAGCTTAAGGATGAGGTAGAAGTGGTTTAACTACCACTGCACAGGAAATAAAAAGTGAAAATTCAGTGGAGTCATAAAAGTTAAAAGCTAATTTAAAAGCCACCCCTCTGTCTTTCTCCTGTTACATCCTTTAGTACTAATTTAAATCAGTACATAATGTTAGAAGCTCCCTGTAAGGACAGGTGCTTTCTCTCTTTGGGAAGATAAAACATCAATTCTTGAAGTAAATCTTTGGCAGAAAGATTAGGGCTTAAAAATTAGTGATTTCCAATCCAGTTATTAGCCCTCCCCTGCCTCTCTCAGAACTCTGACTTTCAATCCACTTGTTCAACTGTCATGACAAATGTTCACTTTACTACCACAGTCACCTCTGCAGATTTGGGCAAAAGAACAGTTCAGACCCCAGCCTTAGAATTCTGCAATTCTGAAACCTCCAGGTCATGTTCACTTCTTTTCCAGCCAGATGCTGAGGTAGTGTTCCAAAATGTAAGTCTTTCCTTTAAAAGTGGGTTTGGTTTTAAAACAGGAAAATTAATGTGGATGTAGGTTTCCCATCAAAAGACCTTGCATGAATACTCTCAGATTTTTTCCTCTTTTCCTGTGTTGGCACAGTTTAGATCTAGAAGGTTGAGCAGTGTGCTTCCACCCCCATAACATTCTAAACACCAAGTCTTCCATGAAACCAATAGTAAAATTCCAGCTAGAAGGGGTCTTCTGTCAGAGTAGCCCTAATTCCTTTAGCTGAAGTTCAGTTAAGCCAGTAGAATCTGTATCCCTGTTTATGCTGAACCTCAGCTGTGTAGAAAGCTCAATAAAAATAGTAATTTAAAGTCCTTCCTCCTTTATTTTCAGTTCTGTTCAAAATGCCATAAACCTTAGTCTAAAACAGAAGATTCACATCTAAGGGTGTAAAATTAAATAACTTTTATGGTATCAGGGATACCTGCAATGATTGTCTGCATCACCAATGACACTGGCTGGTTGGTTTGGTTTATTTTAGAAACAAGCTGTATAAAGTTAAGGGGCTTTGCCTTATGCTTGTTTTAAAAATACTTCAGAATTTTGTGGTTTTAGTCTTCTCTTATTCATTTATTTCAAAGGTCAGCTCTTCAAAATTGTGCCATACTCCTGGTCCTTTAAATAAACTTACTTTGAAAAGCATTTTCTAAATACAGTGCTTTGTTTATTACAATGATACCTAAAATATCATTATATTGACACATTATTTCTGTTTTAGAAAGCATGTAAGTTAATAGTTTGTTATGGTAATAGTCTATTGCACCCAGAAATAAACTATGTTTTGTTTTCAGAAGTGATACTGTTGTGCACAGTGATTTTTGTTTTGTTTTCCCTGTTCTAGGCTTCAGCTGGAAACAGATTTGAAGATAGAAAAAGAGTGGCGGCAAACCCTGGAGGATGATCTTCAGAAGGAAAAGGAAACTGTATCCCATCTGAGAACAGAGACCCAAGAAATAGTTACCCTTAAGAAAGTAAATCTGCAGCAAATTTTGACTAGTAATTTAGAAATGGACTGCAATGTTATTTATGGACTTAGACATGGTATTTTAAAGGATTTCTCCAAATATATGAGAAAGATTACGTTAATGTGTTCTCACAAATAGAATGAGGAAAAAAATGGGCCTTTTACTCCAATTTAGTCCTCAGATCAGAACTCAGTACTTTGGACAAGGAGAAATGAAATCCTTGTTTTCCTTTCCCTTCTCAGTTGTGTTGTCTGACCTCACTGTAGGCTGGACCTGTGGCTCTCTGTGCTCCTGGCCTCTCTTGTCACTCGGGTTTATTTTCCAGGTTTTATCTCCAGTCACTCAGGTTTATTTTCCAGGTTTTATCTCCAGTCACTCAGGTTTATTTTCCTGGTTTTATCTCCAGTCACTCAGGTTTAATTTCTCCCTGCAGTGGGCTACAGAAGCAGAAATGTTTCTTTATCTCTTGGGGTCTGAGGGAATTTTCCAGGTTTTATCTCCAGTCACTCAGGTTTATTTTCCTGGTTTTATCTCCAGTCACTCAGGTTTAATTTCTCCCTGCAGTGGGCTACAGAAGCAGAAATGTTTCTTTATCTCTTGGGGTCTGAGGGAATTTACTCCTGAGCAGTTGCTGTTCAGGCTGGATTTGGAGGGAGTGTGAGGGATCACTCATGCACTTGGCTTTCTCAGCAAGATCTGCTTCAGTAGGAGCAGCTTCCTAGGCAGTAGGGCAAGCACAATTTGAGAATAATTTGGCTTCATTTTATTTTGTTTGTTTTGTTTTAAGGAGTTCCTTAAACTTCAGGAGAAGAACAAGCAGCTGAAAAGCACATGTGAGGACCAAGAAGCTGCTCTCCAAGAACTGGCATCCAAGCTGAGCGAGTAATTTTATTATTCATAAAAATTATTCATTCATATTATTCATTATTATTCATGATGACATACATATTATTTTTGTCATGTACACTTGAATTAAGAAAAATAGTGGGACAGTGGTAATGCATATTAGACTGTAGATGACAATATTATTATTATTTTGGTAACTAACCAGTTGTGAGAAATCAGTGTGTCTAGTTAGGTCAGGCCTGGTAATTTTTACTTTTGGCTGGTGGTGTGGCTGTGAGCTGGGTAATGACAGTGCTTTAACAGAAAATCCAAAACAAAACAGTTTGAACAAAAACAGTTTGAAGGGCACGAGGCTTTGTTCTGCAGGAGAACAGTTGCCTAGTTTGCCAGCTGTGGCATTCCCAAGGAGCCCCAAGGAGAAGGTAACAGCTCTGGCTGCAGCAGGGCAGTGCTGCTCTTCTTGAGCCCCAGCCAGACACCAAGCCCCACACAGCTGCTCACTCACTTCCCCACCACTGGGATCAGGGAGAGAACTGGAAAAGCAGAAGCTGGAAAACTCATTAAGGATTGAGATCAAGGGAGTTTACTAGAGAAAAGAAAAGCCACACATGCAAGCAAAGCAAAACAAGAAATTAATTCACAGCTTCCCGTGGTTGGGGAGGTGTTCAACAACCCCCAGGAGAGCAGGGCCTGTCACATGGAATGGTGCCTGGGGAAGGCAAAATTCCATCACTCCAAATGTCCTCCTTCCTTCTTTCCCCCACTTTATATACTGAGTGTCATGCCACTGGTGTGGAATATCCCTGGGGTCCCCTGTCCTGGCTGTCCCCTCACTTCCCATCATCCCCAGGCTCCTCCCCAGCCTGGCCCTGGGGGGAGCAGGAAAGGCCTTGGCTCTGAGTGAGCCCTGCTCAGCAACAACAGCAGAACATCCCTGTGTTATCAGCCTGTGCTCAGCACAAACCCAAAACACAGCCCCTGGGAGGGAGAGGAACCCACCCAGGCAGAACCAGCCCAGCTGCCCAGGCTCAGAGGATGGAAGGGGACACGTGGCAAACAGCACCCTCCTTTCTGCTGTGTGGTGCTGAAGCTTCATTTGATGATCTCTGTCTTCTCAGTAGTCTGCTGTGATTGATGTGGCCTTCGATGCCCTGTAGAATAACTCCTGTGACCCAGTTCTCAGTGGGCTGGCACTGCATGGTTGTGGGGAGGGTGCTTCCTCCAAAATGACATAATGTGGTCTTGTACTCTTCTTCAGAGGACTTGGCTTAAAATTTAAGTACCTAAACCAGCTTTTTAAGTTGTTAGAGCATAACTGAACCATATAGAAGTTTGAAGTAGCATTATCTTATTTCTTAGATCAAAGCTGAAAATAGAAGATATAAAAGAAGCAAACAAGGCATTGCAGGTCAGTAGCATTTTGAGAAAATAATTTTTTTTTTAAACTGTTCTTTTTGAAATCTTTCATAAGCATGAGAAGACTTCTCTCCAACAGCAACTGCTCCAGAGAGACTCACTGTATGATTTCCTCCAGTGGGAGAGAACCACACTCCCTTGTAACTTCCTGGAAAAAATGCATCTGCTTTTGATTTTCCTTGTTTGATGCACAGCTGTGCATTTTGGCCCTTTTGCAATGGCACACACCCTTCTATCATTTACAGAGTGAATCTGGGACAGAATGTGAAGCCAGCTGAGCTTAAACTGCATAGTACTTCTCAGTGATCAATAAATATTTGATCATCCTAGGAAATAAGTGAACTTGTAGCATCAAAGCTGATAAAATATGATGTGTAATGTCAGCAGGTTTGGGACTTTCTTAAAGACAGCAGAGTGCACTTGAGAGCAGAGATTCTGTCTGCACACCTTTGATTATCTGGTGTGTCACCTGGCATATTGCTGCAGTCCAGGTAAAAGTGACTGGAATAGTTGAGCAGACTTCTGGGTT